TGAAGTCCTATAACATGAAGGAAAAAAGTGTGGACAAAATATAAACAAAACATACCAATTCGTCAAGTCTGGGATCACCCTATTTGTTCGGCTTGCTCCCTCACAATTTATAAAGCGGGTACGCTTCCCCTAATACTGTACATAAAATGAGTGCCCAAACAATAGGATATGGACCCATGCTACACTACTTTGTCTTACCTACCCCCTTCGTTGGGAATATACTAAGACTTATAGTACTCCATAACACTCGTGAGAATTAAAACATTTAAATTACAAGAAAAAAACGGTTTTGTGGTTTGCGTTTAAAGATGGAATCGATATAAATACACAGAGTCAACAAGGGGAGACAATTGCTTACTGATTGGGCTACAAGATTTGTCAAGTAAACCGTTACCTACTGTATGGCTATAATGACACGATTGTTTCTTCCAAACCATAAGCTGGTGTAAGTGTCACATGCGTGACCGGTGACATAGACGTCCAATGAAATAGTTCGGAAGGATAGGGGGCATTATGTTGGTGTTTTCTTCTTTGTATTGTCAATCGCTTTCTTTTCACCTTGTTAGAACGCTGAGCCTGAGTTATAGGGGAAGGAAGCCGTGAAGGCGTAAAAGCTGCTTTTCTTCGGGAGTCCAAGAAGTTTTAAAGAGCCCACCTAGTATTTCATTGGTGAAACAAAAGTGAGCAATCAGTGAGTCCGTGTCTCTATCCTGACTACAATCCGTTCATAAGGATGAAAAAGAAGGCCCGGTTGGTAAACCATAGTACCCCACCCCCTTCCAACCTCAACCCCCATCCTAATTCAAAACGTTCGTGTCAATATAACGTGTAGATAGACTGTACGCGTGTTGAAAAAACACGTATAAAAATAATGCAATAACTATTTAGGAGAAATACGCAACGCTCTTGTAGGTTTTTATGAATAACTTAAAATATGCCCCATCCTTAGCATATTCACAATCATTGTCATGTCAATTTGAAGAAAAAATCATAATCCTTTTCACAGTGTAGACTCATCCTTTACAATAACAGGCTATTTATATATATGAGTAACTAACGTTATGACCATACCAACTATGTTTATTATATACTCATATCGAGAACAAACAATATTGTAATATTGTTTCAATAAGCTGCAGATATATTCCCTTCCATTTTCCTTGTCTTTTGTAGTTAATTGTGAGTATCGGTTCATGTATCCCTGTAATCCCCCTTTCCCTCTTTTAGCGTGTATTTGTATTTTATAAACTTTACTTTAGTTAATTATGTCATTTTTAGTTTAAGGAGCCTATCCACAACAAGCTCAGCTTTTCCATAGGCTCCGCCACTTTATCTCTTAAGTTAAACTTAATGGACAATATTCTGAATAGTGTGTACCGGTATTGTATGTACATGTATAAAATAATCATTTTCAATATGTTGTTACTCTTTGTAAAATGAGATATTGTGGAAACCAATAAACTATCTATCTATCTATCTATCTAAACAAACAAACTTTAAGGCAAGATGATAATCACTGACTGCATAAAAAGGTCATTCACACTGTCATTGATTACAATTTTTTTTAAATTGAATGTTCTAATTGGATTTCATATTCAAGCCAAAATCGAATGTTTTTATTCATTGTTCTTGAGTCCGGTGTAAAACTGTCCATGTTGAAACCAATAATTACATGGACACAGGTGATATGAAGAACTTAAATCTTATCAGACTCATTAAAGTTCTACTAGCTAGTGGATGTTAGAGCAGAAGAAGAACAAGAAGGAGAAGAACATGAAGATGATGATGAATAAGAAAAATAAAAGAAGCAGAGCAACAAAAATAACGGTAAAAAAGGAGGGGTGGAGATGGAAAAAAATAAGGAGTGAAAAGAGAAGGGGAAGAGAGGGAGGGGACGAAGAAAGAGGAGGAGGAGAAGAAGAAAAAGAAGAAGAAAAAATTGGAAGCAGAAAAATAGGGTTGAAGTTGATCAAGACGAAAAAGATTTTTAAAAATATATTAACTTTGCTATAGCTAAAAGAAGGGCAGATTATAAAGATTCAAAGATAGGAAAAGAAAAGCAGATAATAAGTAAAGATATTGGAACGAATAGAGATGTAAAATCAACAGACCGTTATAGCAATGATTTAAAGATACTATGTCCCTTTTGCAGCCAACATCAAATTCTGTAGAACTTTGCAGGAATTATGAATATGTCATGTATGTCCTATCTGTGAAATTTAAATGTTAGCAGTGTCCTAATATTCAAATTATGCAAGGAAACCCGTTTACTTGCAATACTTGTAAGACACTATTGAGTGACTGACTGGCTTTTTTTCTTCTTTGGTAATAACATACATAAAATGAGCTGTTATTGGGTACGTGAGCATTTTGTTAACATCAATAACCCACTTCTTGTAATGGCCAAGATTAAACTGATTGAATCTTTGCGCAGCATAAAACGTAAGACCAATCGGTACAATAGTCTGAAAATCAGACTATTACTTACTGGCTCTATAGCTCTTAAGTCGATCCGACAACTAATAGTCGTTATTTTCCCACTTAAAGACATTTTCAAGCTCCCCCTTTTTTAGGGAAGTTCTAAATTAGTATTATCTTTCAAATGCTATTGGAATTTAACCTTTTCATTTTTTTTGGCCTGCAAATGGGACATAGTACCTTTGACGAAAGGTGAAACAGAAAGAAAAAATGAATTAAATATGAAGAAATGGAAAGGCGAAAAAAAAATCACTATTTTCTCAAATTATGTTAAACAAGAACATTAAAGTCGAATATGTTATAACACTGAATACATACAAATGGTTCAAGAACCTCCCTTCATGGCCTTGCCAAGTTAATCACAAGCATCTTGACTATATAAGAAAAAGACAAGTTTTCATCATTGAATAGTCTAACTGGTGTAATTTGCCCTGACACACTGAGCTCCCATTCTATGTAATTACCCGGTATTTAGTTAGGCTTCAGTTACACATTTTTTTCTCTAAACACCCTTTCATACCAGTCAAGAAGTAGAAAATATTTGGAGGCATCAAGCAAGATAAATGATGGTAGTTAAGTAATTGGCGGTTGGAGTTTTTTTCCATTTGTCAGTTGTAAGTATTCATAAACAAGGGTATCTATGTAGAGCTATTAGGAGCTTTAGAGTAATAATGTGGTCACTGACACATACGTCATGCAGACTATTACACATAAGCCGAAAGGGAATGTTAGAAAGTAATACATAAATGCAGTGCAAATAGTTAGTATTGTTTGACAGTATATCTATAAAAACGAATATATTATAAAGCATTGCATTATTTGTATCATTTAAGTTTATATAATTATAGTGTATACAGAATGATATAGAAACTTCAGACACATAACATGTCAATAAAATTGTATGCACTTATCTGTATGCATCCAAAACTATCATGTTTATAAAGGTGTTTGTTTGTTTGTTGCTGTTGTTTTGTTGGATTACTTTTGTTCAGCTATGAGCATTGTATCATGGATTATAAAAGATGCACTAATGCCTGTACGTTTTATTATCTTCCTTCTGTTGTTTCTGTTTAATCGCCAATACGGGTTTCATAAAATACCAGTGAAATACGGTCATTTCAGCTCATTATCATCATCCAATAACCATCATTAATGACAGGAACTACCCATACTCGGCAGTTTGTCGCGTCGAAATTACATCCTCAATGCATTGGGGTAACTTAAATCACCGTAATATCATGGTAAACGAAAAGCAAACTTTGGTTAATAGGCTATTTGGTTTGATATTAAGCGCGCGTATTGTGGTGTTTATTCGCGCCATTTGACAGGTGGAATGGCCATTTTGATACCTCAGTCACACCAGCAAGACTGATACGAGACCGACACCAGACCAAACAAAAAATGTGCATTGCCCCCCTATACTATGATCAGAAATCGGCCGGTTGGGAGCCGGTGTGGAGTAGGTTTGGCGTGATTCTTTCGGTCAGGTAGAAAATTGTCACTCTCCCCCCCCCCCCCACATAATTCTCTCCCATTGGCTCAATTTAACTCTTGATTGTAAGATTAGATAGTCCATCAGTCATCCTACGCGTTCCTACATTCGCTTTCTCCCAAATTTTCGTCTCTGGGTCTTTATTGCCCTTTCGATTTTTCCCGATTATTTCTTCAGCTTGTCTTTCCGCCTTCTCATCATTGCTCTCTCTCTCTCTCTCTTTCTACCCCACCCACCTCTCTCTCTCTGTGAGGCTCTGCCCTACCATGTACCCCAACTTTTTTTTATAAATTCCTCTCGCTTTTCTAGTTATTATATTTTGTCATTATGGGGGTATATCGCTTCCCCTTTTGTTTCTTTGTATCCGTCGTCTATTTTGTCTGTCCGTCTCTCTCTCTTTCTAAACCTCTAAAGCAAATCTACATCTACTAGTTTCTCTTTAATCAATCTAGGGTTGTGAGACTTGCATGTGACGTGAGAGGGCGATAGAACAGAATTATCTTAGAAATGGTTAAGCTTGGTAGGCCCTACTACGTGTATTTTGGCACAACTGAAAGTCTTAATTAACAAGTTGAAAACAGTACGAATACATGTATTAAAGCTGATCTTGTAATCTTGTTTTTTTTTTAAACTGTGACTTGTCATTTATCCATCAATTTAAAGCCCATTCCCCTTCTCTCTGTTCTTTCCCTCTCTTTGTGCCCCACTCCTCTCCGCCCCATCTCTCTATTTACCCCCCTCCCCTACCCACACATACAACACAAACACCAATAGATGACAGACGGATCTTTCTCTCTCTGATCAAGATTTAAAGCTGATCTGGATGCTGACTTGGGGGGGGGGGGGGGGTATAACCACCAAATATTAGCCATTTCTGATGGCAAGTCTGTGAAATTATTAACAACCTTTCTTCTTTCTTTGCTTGTTGGGGCAACATGGACGAATTGACCCCCACATCCCACTTCACAAACACAGTTCTTCATTACTACGAAACACCATGCAAAATGAAGCGGGCAAAAAAGACATTTCATACATTTCATATTCTTCTTTTTATATCTGCCCCATTTCATGAGCCTGTGGGGCAATCACAATAATGTGCCTGACATTTAATAATGAAATATAATCACAATGATTGAATCATTCTATATCATTTCATTCCATTTATACATGAGTGGTTCAATCACTACCCAATGTCAAAGGTCACCATCTGACATGCTATTCAAAATATGATTAAACTAATAGGAAAATAAACATCAACAAAGAAGAAATGCAGTTTATGTAGTTAGTTGACAACAAGACATGAATGAATAGGACATACTACAGTAAAGGAAATTTTGTGGATAAATACATGGATAAGAATATTGCTTTACCAATATAGAGCTAGTAAGTTCTGCTTTTGTGTACATTTATTTACATGTGGTGTTACAACTAACACACCAATACTATGACATGTCTTGTGTCCTTTTTTTAATATAATCTTTTGATGACTTTTCAAAGATTAATAAGTTGTCATAGCCAGCTTAGCCACCTGGCAATGTCCAAAATGTTATATATTGTACCTTCAAGTCAATGATACAATATTTCCCCTTTTACAATTTATATTTAGGAACACACAAAAAAACATTCAAAGAATACACTTTGTCTTCTCTACTAAACTTTTAAAGCGAACATTGCTTGATCACTTCTATCTTAGGTATATTATGCATTCCACACACACCTACATCTGAATTATGTTAAGATATCTTCTCCTTATAAGCACCACTAGTATTGGAAATAGGATTCAAGCAGGAAAACATTATGATCCAAATAAAGACACCAAGTTGAATTTACATTTACAAAATCATGACCATAACTCAAAATTTGAAAATGCTATCAACTATTCAAAACTGAAAAGCATCTAGATCCATTATAGAATAACAAGTAAACATGTCAGCTAATTTCTACCTTTTACTTCCGTCTTTGTAAAATTCGACTAGCGAAAATCACCTAGCAGAAGAGTACCCTGCTACATGAAATATGATTTTGAATGCATTTACAGCATTCCTTGCATGTACATTGACCAATCAGGATCAAGATTTGTGCCATCAGTTGATAAAGGGTTGGTTCTGATTGGCTAAAGTCTGTTATATTTGATTGCCTGGAACTTCAATTTGATATAAATCTTTGTGTATGAGGTTGAAAATCAAGCTTCACATCAGAGGTATTATTGTAATGGACAATTATCGATTTACAAACAGGTTTGAGCTTGTACATGAAAGGAGATTAATAAATGCTAAACGATCCTAATATTTATCATAACATGTCTATTTAGAGGTAGAAGGGAGTTAACTCTTGGGAAACTATAAGATCTAGCACCCTTCCAGCTCTCTGCAGGCAAACTTTTCTTGGAATGTGAACCATCTACAAACAAAACTTATTCAAATACAAGTCTCTTAAAATTAAATCCTGAACAATAGGGGACCGCCTCTAAAACAAATTATAGAATCTTTGACGATTAATAACACAGAATACTGTGACATCCCAAAATAATAACAAACTATTATATGAACAAAAAACACAAATACTCTTAAACTATTGTTAATTCATTACACCAGCATGGCAGATAATTTGAATGCCAGATAAAATAAGTATCTACATCAATAAATTGCACATAATTTTTCTTTCTTTATTTCTTTCATGCTACAATCAGTATCTAAGATCTATTCCACTATTTTCTGATAGATAAAGTCTGCAATCATTCAAAATAACAATGGTGACGCTTTGTAATGAACATGTTGAAAAACAATGAACAATGCCATACAATGCACAAGTAATTTCCTTTTTCCTTTTGAGATGTCGGACATACATGTATCTATTCCTTCAAATCATACAGTGTTGAATAGATATGTGGACACAGTCAGCGTCTATCACTGAATGGCTTCATACATCCCATTTCCATTGCAAAAATAAGCTGCTGTTAAATCAATTGTCTTGAAGTACAGCTTCAAAGAATATTTGAAGTGTGACACACTTATTCACAAATGCTATTGTATGTGACTATTTGTGAGAACTACATGTATGTATAACTGAGCAGCACAAAATATAACAAATTAAATATACAATATCTCTTAAAATTATGCTCGTATGAATTCATCACTATCATCTCTCTCTATCTCTTTTACACAGCTTCAAATACACAAGTAGAAGCGACTAAGCTGAATAAACTATTTCAATCATATGTGTGGACATAAAAATATATCTGTACAGCAGTGTGTGTCCATGACGTTAACTTTATGCTTATAGTATATTCCAACCTTCACTCATAAGTTACAGCTCTTTAAATAATTAGTACTAATTTACAATTAATTACTACACTATGCGCTTAGGGAGTGTTTACCAATAAACTATCAATCTACCTATCAGTCTTAAACATAAAGAATTGGTTAGTATGCTTTTTACCTCACCTCCCCATTTGCTGTTGCACAGTTTAAGAACCATCATGAGGACCAGTGCAATTATAACACTTTTTTGACATTCTGTTGTCCTAAAAATAGCTTCAATTCTGTCTAATGGTTTGAAATGTTTTGTATTTTCTTTTTGGTTGCAATGCCTATACAGTAAAGTATAATGTAGTTTATTACATTACTCTTTCTCTACATGTATCTTTCAATATACAATATGAACAACACAGATTATTGGCATTTCATTGCTAATACATGTATCTTTCAAAGTGTACAGAGAGGCACTGAAGTCATATATGTATATGATGGGTTGTGCACATATGTACAGTACGGAGATGACTGTTTATTTTTACATATACCTGTACATCAATTGAATGACCAAAATCAGAAGGAAAATGTGTTTGATTCAACAAACGCAAATGTACATTTTTTCTGATGATGCATTTGTGCTATCAGACTGTCACTAATTCTTCTTCTTCTACGTGTAATCGTCAAAGGGCTATGCCGCCTATCCTAAAGAAATGCCATACGTAAAATGTAAATTCGCGAAGCAGGCATTTTCATCTTTTTCATCACTGGGTTCGTGATGATTACCTCAGCTTGACTGTACAACACTCACAGATATACATCTATTAAAGCCCCACTGCACTACTTATAGCTACTTGCGCCCTCTATATAGCAAACAATGCCTAATCGGTGACCATTGGTACCCCATGGTCCCCTTTTTCTTCTATTAATTGAGAGCTGATTTGATGAGATAACCACCTGTCAGTGACCATGCAGGGAGGTCTAATCCCTCCCGGCCAAGCTAGTGCGGTGGGGCTTTACAGTATTCTGGTTCTATAGTGTAATAATTAAAAGGTGAGCTGTCCTGGTTCTGTCCTGGTTCTGTCCTGGTTCTATCCGCAAGTACACGATACTGGTTTAATGCAAAGTGTTAGCACTGGCAAAATTGTCAACACCTTCTTCATCATCATCACCATAACAATCATCATCATCATCATCATCACCATCACCATAACAATCATTATTGTCGTCATCATCACCTTTCATCACCTCGGCTTGGGGTACTGTCTGGGCTGTCCATACCCCCTCTTCGCCCCCGGACCCTCGGTTCCGGCCCCGACACCAAACCCAGTGGGCGCCGCGGCTGCTGCTCCAGGAGTGGCAAACTGCTGAGGGTTGTAGAACATGGGAACTCCTGGGGGTTCAGCGGGTTGTTGCTGATGTTGTTGTGGCTGCTGATGTTGCTGCTGCTGTGGTGGTTGCTGCTGTTGCTGTTGATGTTGTTGTTGCTGATGTTGTTGCTGCTGCTGATGTTGTGGCTGCTGCTGTGGCTGATGTTGTTGCTGCTGTGGCTGATGTTGCTGATGTTGTTGCGGGGCATTACCGCCCTCTTGTGGCCAAGATGGAGGTGGCTGGGTTGAGGGCTGGAGAGGAGATAAAGAGAATACAGAGTATGAAGCAACATCCTTCTTTCTTGTTTCTTTATAAATTTATTAATGTGAGAAAAATCCTTTACAGATTTGCAAAAACTTTACTCATACAAACATGAGTATGAAACAAACCTAGGCAGTCAAAACTTCGGTTTTTCTTCTATAACAAAGGTGAGAAAGATTCTAGAAACACTTCAACAAAATTAGAATTGACAATTACTTTATACTTTATAAAACAGAAAGAAAGACGGTTAACCAAATAAAAGACAGTGTACTCAGATGAAACAAGTTGACACAACTTAAACACTTGCAATGGAAAGGACATCATTTGCCACACCTTTGTAAAAATGCATGATGTAACCCAGAATAACAAAATGAAAAAAATCATATGCCATAAATATGAATAAATTTTTCAAACACTTTATCATACATTGACAGTTTTCAATTTTCTCCTTCACCCCCGCCCTCACCACCGGTGCTTTCTTTTTATGAGCACTTTTTAAATTGCATATGCAGGCAAAGAGCTTTATTTTATTTTCAAGAGGTGGTCCATATTAGAAAAATATTTTCAAGCTTACTCATTATACCAATGATTGATGACAAACTGGTTTGTGGTCATTACTGTACATGTTGACGCAAAGAAAGACCATTAGACATTTCACTGCAAAATGAGCGATCACTTGAAGTGACCAGAACAGCGATGGTACTTTATGATATTCCCATAACATGTTAGGCTGTTCAGGGCAAGCTGACCATGCATTAACTATATGCACAATACCAGGAACTCCAGGCTATGTGTATGGTGAATACATAACCAGCTGGCCCGGCACAGCTGAGGTGAAGACAAACAATTACTGCGGAACATCCATAGGTGTCGCATTTGCAGCAGATTTGTTTTCATTCATTTCTGTATCATTTGATATGTTGCACTTTTTTTTAAATCATATATTTCCACAAAATTATCACACTTTTCTCTCTTGGCAGCATATCCTTGCATATAATTGCAGATGAGTGTTAGCAGCAATTTCATCGACCACAAATTCAAAGTTTCTTAATCTTTTTTAACCTAATATCAAGAAATGTCCTCACTTTTATTTGTTCAATCACAACTTGTACCACGACATGTACCAGAAGATGCATTTCATTCCATTTCCACATATACATGACAATGTGAACCTTAATATTACCAATGTGTTCATAGTTATATTACTTCGTAAATGTCAATACATTTGTTAAAATATATTAGAAAAAGGATCATGCAAGAACCGTCTAAGCTGACTCAAAGGGGCTATTGGACATAAATTGTTAGATCACAAAGACGAATGAATAAACTCAACATATCGTAGAAAAGAAGGAGTTTCAATGAAAACACAGACAACCACATGTGTTAATATGACAGGAAGGCATAAAATAGGAAATACGGATTAAATTCAATGTATGCATGTAGATGTAGGCCAACAATTTTCTCTCTCATATTTGGCACTGGTCAACAACAGAAAAACTTTTAAAACTACTATTGTTCTTCCAATTGCAGTTGCGTTTAAGTAATAGAAGGGGTGGTATTTGAACTATCGGAAAGCTGCCAGGCAAAACTGTCCAGATAAAAAAGTTTTCTCCCTCCAAAAAATTAATTCAAAAGGAAAGATATCTCAAATGAAATATCAGTGTTCATCATTTACAAGCCAGTTACTCAGTGTTTGTTAAAAACCTTCATCAGAATCAGCGGGTGTAGGAAGCAAGATCTCAAATTATTCATGGATTTAAAGTTTGAACTAAAAAAAACAAAATTGCGATGTCATAGAAAACTTTGTTAGGAGTGAATAATAATCAGCAAATTATCTGACATGGTTGAAGTATCACAAAATTAAAAAAAACCAATGATATTCTCTTCCTTTATAGCGCATATATCACATTATGACATCCTGTGTACCTCCATAGAGCTTGGAAATCATTGTCCCAGCTATACCTCTGGCAACCGTTACCAGTGCATAGTGTATTTCAAGGACTAATCCTGCCAGGCACCCATTTACCTCACCTGGGTGGAATGTGGCAAATGTAGATTAATGTCGTGCAAGTGATGTGGCAGGGATTCGAACCCCGTACCTTGTTATTCAGTGTGGTGACTTATTCACCAGACCATTATAGTGTGCCTCTATAAGTTCAAATATAATGCATCGCAATGAAAATTTCCAAATAACCCAATACACCAGAATATTGGAAATCCAGAGATTTTAAGACCATATTCATAATCCACTTCCCCAAAAAAGTCAAATTAGTCCGTTTGTAAAGAACTCACAAAAGATACACTTTGCTTTCATATACTGTATATGCACGTTTTCACATTTAATGTATTAATTAGCATAAATAAATATTCATTGGGAAAAGGAGTTTGTTAGATGATACAGGACGGAAGGAGGTATTTTTTTATAAACCATTGCTTAATCTGCAATAAAAGTATACAAATTTAGCCTCCAGTTCATTAACTGATTGATAATCATATGCACTTGCTTTAGTATACTGTTGAGTTCAAACCAGTAGTTTAAACCAATAGTTTAAACCAATCATGTAAATCTCCTTTGTGAATTCAGATGTTACTGTTAAAACATATACTTGTAAGATATACGTGTATGTTAGTAGAAGTATTTGAATGTTAACACACAAGTCTACCGCTGAAATAAAAAGACTGAAATAACAAAGAAAATAATATATGAGCGTGAATACATAAATATCTAAATTACATATGAACATCAACAATCAGGTATCAATATACAAATAGCAGTGTATGAATATATATATATAATGTATATACAGGTAACATAGATGACAATACAAATGCAGCAAAACGTTTCATATATATGCTGGAGGGAGGAAATGAGGAGGTTTAAATACACTTGGCATGCATGAAATGGAGGATCATGATTGGAATACAAACATCAAATGCAGCTACAAGCACTGTTTTAAATGTCAACACGATGAACAAAATAATAGAGAGTCATGGGTTAGTAAACAATTCTCCTCTGGCCCTCTGAGCAAGTCACAGTAGACCTTTTAAAAGGCTCAAGTGAGAAGATAAATAATAGGTGAGTGAATACATTAAAAGCATGGATGTTAATAATGCGCAGCAGACATCCTGCTAACCTAAAAGCAAGCACTGTTCCCACTGCTGTAGCATTACGCCCTGCAGAGCTCATCCGAAGTGCGTATCTCCTCGGGATACTCTCTATAACAAACAAGTTTTAGCAACACAATGGAAAGGGGCTACGCACCACTTTAGCCTCATTCCTATATACCACAGTGTTAACAGCCTGGACAAGCTAAACTGACATAATTCTTGTGTGTCACATTTCTGTCTTTTTTAATTCTTATACAGGATGGTATTATTCATAGTATCCTTTGTTATGCGCAGATATTTTTTTTCTCCAACCTCGCTTGCCACTCATTTACACGTAAAACAGTTTTCATTTTGAGGCAGCGGCAGTGTAACACATCGTGTCAGAAAAAGCCTTCATGCATACTATAAAAAGGGGCTACGCACTACTCGCTAATCAACTGCACAACGAAGCGCTACAACAGAGGGAACAGAGCAAACATAGAATATGGCGCGTGTCTTTAAAGGGGTTGATCAAGCGTATACCTGATGGGCCATATGCTGACTGACCTCATTGGAGAGATCGCTCATCGAACTAGTGCGAGAAAGCTGTTCAGGAAGTAAAAAAGCAACCAGGGTATTTTATTGAGACGGCCAAAAGGGTTCATGTCGATTCATGCTCACTTGCAGAGGGAGTGAGTAGCTTAATCATTCCTCATGACTATGTAACAAGAATCCATGTTATTCTGATATTTGCGAATGTTAATTCTTCATATTTCAGGTACCTAACATCAGATTATGTATTTCTTTATAACACAAGACCCCAAACCCCCCACTCCTTGGCCTATCTTAATTTAGAAATAAAATAATGAGGACCATAAGTATTGACTGATCAAAGCAAAGTAAAATTCTAATATTTCGAGCAATGTCATAAATGATGATGTGATGAAAAAACTACAAACAAAATCTGAGGACATGAACGATTTTAGAACGTAGCAAATACTATTTTTCAATTGTTGCAACATAAAAATATAGAATCGCAGCATGCCCCCCTCCTCCTCAAATAACTAAACATTAATCTTTATTCTCGACTTTAATGAACTAAGATTACTCCCAAACATTATTTATTGTTACAGCTTTAACATTTAATTGAATCTAATTAGACTGAGTATGTTGTGTCCATGTTCAAGTGATTAGGTTCTTCCTTTCACACTTGGTGAAGTGGAATAACTTTAAAATTACTTTAAAAATACTGGCTGAACGAAAAAAAAAAGAAAAAAAAAATTGTATTTGATTCTAAACTTGTTTTGGAGTCTAAACTGAAGCAAACATCATTCATAGTTGAAGGACATTGTCGGGTGATTCATTATCTTTTCTATTTTTCTATGAATACTTTTGTAGATGTTGAAAAGCAAGTCAAGCACACATGCACAAAATCAATGATTGTGCTAGCAGACCACCACCAAAAGCTTAATTAAATCATGAGGAATATAATAACATTACATGCTAAATAATCATGAAATCATAATGCACATCCAGGCATAAAATGGTGTGTATTATTCTTATTATTAGCACAATTTCACTAGGAGATACACTTGTAAATTGGTAAAAGACATATATTGATAAAATAAAGGTATATTGGGTGTGGATTACACAAATGTACCGCACAAATCTAAAACTTGACAACAATTTTAACAAGAGGAATTTACTTTGACCTTCGCAAAACTCAAGAAAATGCCAGATTTTCAAATGTAATCAACATACAGTAAAAACAAGTAAAAAAAAATGATGATTTAAATAAAAGAAATCATTGTTTTTACTAGATTAACATCCATTTCAAGATCTCATCATAATGCAGCAGTGATTGTGGACATCTAACAAGCGACACAAAAACCATTTAACCCCTTCATGTAATTGCAGAGATTTTCAGAAGCCAAGTTGAAATCATGATATAACTGAAGTCTGAAGCAAGCCTACAAACAGAGAAATTTATACTTTTTAAATTTTGATTATATCCAACAGGTAAATACAGACTTCAATACAAGTACATGCATAGTAAAATCAAATTTGCCAGCAAAGAAATATCTATACCATCCAAAATATCTGCATGGGCTTCAGAATCACAAAATGATCTCATCATAAAATAGGTTTATGAATGGTTCAATCATCGTCTTTGAAAAGTGCACATTGAAAGCATTTTCATTCATTCTTGGCTTATCTTGAAAATCTCTACAATGCAATTCAGTAATATGTGGTACACTGCATGAATGTTGACAAGAGGCATCTATAGCACATTCAAATGCACAGGTAACTTACGTTTTCACTACTCTGTTGCACTGCTCCTACTCCTAGCCCACGATGTGGACTGTGGGGTCGTGACCCTGGGTTGCCAACTTGAGGATCGCCTTCCTGGTTGGAGGTCTGGGTGTCTTCTGATGCAGCTGAATAAAAGAATTAATAAAGGGAAATCAATATTTAGTGAATTTTTGCCACAAAAAGGCAATCACAAGTCATGAAACTGATAAATCTGAGTCCTGATTGTGTAATGCGAAAATTGAAACTCATGATACGAAACAAACGCAACTCAATGTTGAACACATTAATTTTGCGCAAGTAGTGTTACTTTTCATTTAATACCCCCCCCCCCCCAAAAAAAAAAAAAAAAAAAAATTACATTAAACTACCTACAAGCTAGCTAATTATAAGAATTCCTTTCTGAGAATGACATCAGTTTTAAATAGCGCCATTTATTAGGCATTCTAATTCTAAAAGCTGGATGTTTGGCTCAAGCAACCAGTCCCCCCTCCCCAAAAAAACAACAGTAGAGAAAGGACATTCACCTTTACCCTTTAACCCATATTTAGTACAGAGTCTCCTTTTAGTAATGTTCTTGCATTATCTTTTGATCCAGAATACTACAAATTATTTATTATACACTTGCAGAAAGAGCAAAAATCACAGAGAATTTTGAGTCTGTTTCCAATGCAGTACATTGTATTGTTTTCGATGAAGAGAAATTCAATTGCAATAAATCAGTAAAGTCTCTAAATTGGCAATGCAGTGTAAGATATACAGTCACTATTTTTGTTTACATTGTTCCCTTTAATAATTTTTTTGTTGTTGTATAGATTATAAAGGAGTAGAAAATAAGGCGAGGCGTCAAAAATAAATATACCAGCCAGCGGCAGCTAACTGCACTTGTGCGTCCTGGCTGCATTTTTTAAATTAGCTCAGCCGGCTACCGCTGGCGGTAGGAAATGGCGTTCAAAAGCATACGCCAGCTGCCGCCTTTCGAATGGAAACCGAGCCTCAGATCCCAGCCTGGCGCAAGCCGGCTGGGCTAACAAAAGAAAAATAATTGCCCCAGCCAGGCTTCGGCCGTATTTGCAGCCTCGATGCGCCAATACGTGAGGCGGCAGCCTGCTGGTATCGATATTTTTGACGCCTCGCCTAAGAAAACTTTGACCCCCTACGAGTTGATACTTTTAGGCTGACTTACATGAGTCTGGGATGAAGAAATTGACAGGTGCGGCATTGATGGGTGCTGGTAGGGTCTGGAATAGACTGCTTGTGTCTCCTCCTGTCTTGGCAAGTGATGAAGTACCTTTGCCCTGGTTTAGAATGTCCACATAGTTACCAGCACCTAAACAAATACAGAGATGTGACACAGTCATTATAATACAATAAGCCCACTCATTGTTCTTAAAATCTGAAGTACTATAAAAAATACTAATCATTTTGGCTTTTCTTCATTTTGTTCTTCTTTCAGAGATCAGCAGGTATCTGCTGTGTAGATGGCAGTACAGTCAGAACATGTAGTGGAGGTTTTGACATAAGATATCATCGTAACTCTCCCGTTTATTTCATATGATAATATTAAATAAAAGGGAGCAAAATAAACATCATATTCCTTCCTTACTTAAAAATTGGAACAATATTATGTACCTTGTTTTTAGTAGATTTGTATTGCAGCTGTGTTTGATTCATGGGATCATCAATTATTAGTAGTTGTAAGTCTGAGAGTTCCATCTTATTCATTACTTATCATAATTTATACGTCATTTTCATTCTTGCATCAGTACTTAACCACATGGAATTTTACTAGAAACCTGAGTTCCGATTCAACCCCTCATAGAGTTGTGAGAAACATTTAGAACTACGGATTAATCTTTACGGAAAGAAACACAGAACATGGATCACAACTCACCAAACTTGCGTGAGAATTTGTTGGCTCCAGCAGGAGGGGGTGCTGCTGTGGAGCCCATCCCTCCCCCAAGCCCAGGGGTAGACCCAGGAGGCTGCATGGTAGATGAAGGATTAGCAGAGGGAGGGGCAGAGCCAGAGATTTCTAGATCAGAGGGAGGTGGAGGTGGGGGTCCGCTGTCTGCCTCGTCCGCATCTTCTTCTCCCTTGTTGACCCACGTCTTCTTGACCGGGTCCCATTCGATCTGTGGAGTAGGGGTTCGTTAAGTGTGATTAGTTGTAACTAGACCTTACTTATGGTAGTTAAAATTAAATATCAAGACAAAATATCAGTAAAGTTACATGGAGGGTAGAGAAATTTACCTCAAAAAGAGTTCTGAATTTTAATAATACTTTTCTTCTTCTTGAAAGGTACAGACTATCACCTAATGATGAAAAGGTGTAATACAGTATATATAAAATTTCATTCCCCCCCCCCCTCCTCTGTTCCATGTCTTCTAAGTAGCTGAAGATGCAAAATAGCCCAAACCAATTGTTGTGGAATTCTTTTTTTTCCTTCTAATACAATGCAAGTAGAAGAAATACATATGTGATATTTATATGTAGAAAAGACAAATTATACTTTGTAAACATTTCTATCAAATGTACTTGATACACAACACTATGACAAAAAGTATAAATGCTTGTAAAGAAAGACCACTCAATGAAAAAAAAAGTGGTCTAAAAAAAAAAAAGGCGAGAAAGCGAATGATCGGCAGCTTTGTTTTAAATGGAAACATGTAATGGTGCCATTATCCATGTAAATGCTGTGAGTCATCATCATCATCATCATACATGTATGCCAGTTTGAATGACTAAACAAGATATATCAACTCACCGTTTTCTTTGTGTCATCTGGAAGATGGATGTTGGAGCCGCCCAGCTTTTTGTTGAACCAACGTAGCCAGCCGCCCTGTGAAGACTATTATATTGAGGTTAAATTACACATTACTTATCGAAACACTTATGGTATTTCATCCACATTGAATATCATACTTATTTAATCTGCAGTGGTGGATGAAAGAGCATAACATTTTATTTTTTAATACTTTCACTTGCCCTATGTTTTCATGTTTGTCAAATGTGCTGATTAATATGTCATAGCTATGCTAATTCTATTCCTATTTTGCATTTCTCTAAACCTCTAAAATGTCCCCAAATTATGAACTAATGAGCCTACAACTTGAAATTATTGATTGATTGATAGCAAGTGCTTTTCTATGTTCCTCTAATGCATACATTTCTTAATAACACATTTATGTCACTCATTGATAACAAGATTTTAAACATTTCATAAAAGCACCCTAAAATATTTTCAGAACACATGTTTTTATCTCAAAAGGCCTCACCCACAAGCATTTTTCTAAAACATCCCTTCATGCAAGATAATTTTATCAAACAATTTATATTCACATACAAGATGAAACATACAAACAAGATGAAAGCAGGATACAAAGTTTATGTCAAACTAGGCATTGGCAACAAGCATTTTCTACAGCATTCCTACAATTTAAATGATTCTACTGAATAATTCTACTACACAATTCACAAATTCACAAATGGAGATGAATCTTCCTAAACATGAATGTGTGAATGAGTACAGGGCCCAGTTTCACAAAACTTGTCATCAGTGACAAATGACAGTTTTTGTTAAAAGCTACTGAAATCCTTGCTTCTGATTGGTCATAAGCAGATTTGTCACTGATTTTTGTCATTTGTCATTGAAAAAAGGCTTTGTGAAACGGGGCCCTGATCTGCCTGGATAAAACTTCACGAAAGATATGGAGGTGTATAATTCATGCACTTTAATCTAAAACAAAATAAAAAAAGAAACAAAACCGATACAGAACAAAACAATTGAACAATATCAATACAAAACAAAGACGACAACAAACAAACAAACACTTACAAATACAAACAACAGTAAACCACTTTGTCAAGTTTTTAGATGGTTATCCTACCTTTGGTTTGGGTTTATTATTCTGTGCCTTAGGTTCAGGCTGCTGCTGCTGCTGCTTCCCCTTCTGACTAGCAGCCGATACGTTAGACCCTCCTGACGTGGTCCTGGTCCTGGCCCTGTGTCTGGGGTCGTTGAAGGAGTTGGGCGAGTCCGGTGGGGTCAGGGTCTTCTGAGGGGATGGGGGACCAGCCATGGAGCTAAGGGTGTTGGTCCTGCTCCTATTATTCTGCTGCTGCTGCTGTTGTTGTGACAAAAAGATAAATGCAATAAATTCAAATAATTGATTTAAAAATTCATCGGTTAACAATGTTAACAAATTTCTCTGAGATGTAGTGACGGACAACTTACTCATTTGTTCCAACACACAAAGTTACTAAAATTTGGCATACTTGGCATCCTTTGTGATTTTTTGTTTTACAGTATAAAGGTTTGAAGGTGCACTATGCTTATATCATTATATTGTGTTCCAGCAAATTGTTTAGGTTTATATTGTTATGTATGATCTGTATTAATCACAGAATTTACTGGAATGGTTCTAATACTTCTGAAAAAACACAAAGAATGTTCATACCATCTTATTGTAGCTGTTGAAATCAAACTGTGATGCACCACTTTGTTCAAACTCAGTCGAGTCTCCCTCTGTCTCTGAAGCGTTCGTTGTTGTGCTGTACTCTGAGATGTTACTTCCCATCGATGCCCCAGGATCCTGATTAGGTGCAAAGTTGCTACTGCAGAGTGCAATGGAAGATAAAAACAACATAAAGATAACAAATGTGTCACAACACATTTACTTGTCTTATGGGTGGATAATAATAATAATAGTAACAATAACAACACCAACTATAATAATACTAGTAATAATTTCGAATAATTCAAATATCAACAACAATACTACTACTACTACTACTAATAATGATGTCTTGTTTACCCAGATGGGACTCATCAGTATTAATACTGTTCTCCCTGAGGGCCCTGTATTACAAAACTCAATGTGCAATACTCAATCACTTAATCATCTTCAATTTTGTACTATTCCTACCATATTGCTATCATAAAAGGAATTATATACCTCACTTAAGTAATCCAGCAATCTGATTGGTCGAAATTGCATTCATAAACTTTAACTGTTCCTGTAAAAACAGACCTATTTTTCCAATAACCATGGTTATTGGGAAAATAGTTCAGTCTCCATGGTTACCCCATAGGTTTACATGTTAAAAAATGGTTTGAGCGATCGAGGATACCGTATGTGTGCGAAGAATTGGTCGGTAATTTCAATACAATTGAATCTCGATCGATCTTACGGACAATTTTATCTTGCATTGTTGACATGAATACGAAAATAAAGTTCCAAAAACAAAAAAACAACATCTGCCGATAGATCTTGATCTAAGTTCGTGCCAATATGCATTGCAAAAGTAAAAGAAGGGTCCGTTTAATGGAGCTTTTGCGAAGCATTCATCACGCGAAGCCGGTTTCAATCCATTTTAATGTATATACTGTACAAAACTACCAAGCATGGTAACAGCGTGCGATGGCCGAGTGGTATAAGGCGTTGGTTTTAGATACATCACTTAATGTACGCAAGAGTTCGAATCTCATCTTCGACAAAAAAAAAGTATCTTTTATTTTTTATTTTTTAGTCTATTTTTTTTCGGCATATAAAAGTATTAATGACTGCTTTAATATTTGAGAAATAGTTGTTTTTATACGCTCTCGGGAAGGTTACAATTGGGCTATTCCCCTCGGCACGCCTCGGGTAATAGCACAATTCTAACCTTCCCTTGAGCGTATAAAAACAACTATTTCTCTCAAAGCAGTCATTAATACTATATTAATTCCCACAGCTGCATAATATGAAAACTAAGATTGTTGCCACTACAAGTAGCATGCAGAGTCTCCTCTGACACAAAGCAGCATACTCATGAATCAAAGTTACTGAGATTAAGTTATGAATTTATCTTAAACTTTGACATCAGTCCAAGGATTTGTATAGTGCAACCCAACAGCAAACCATCTTCACTTTCAGATTCCCCTTTTCATAACACTTCATGCAAGCCAAGTTGTAGGTTGTAGGCACAGTAATAGAATAGTTCTCCTTCAAACATCTTCAGATGAAGTCAAATATCTCACTGCACAGTTTTTAAAGTCGAAATTACTCGTACCTGATGGGCTGGTTGTTGTAAGGCTGGTAATTCTCATGTTGGTAATATGGATTTTGCTGCTGCTGCTGCTGCTGTTGGCCAGTAGGTTGTGTACCATCTTGTTGTTGTTGTTGTTGTTGTTGGTATTGTTGTTGTTGTTGTTGTAGCTGCTGTTGTTGGTTGTAGTCATAGAAGGGCACTTGTTGCTGGTCGGTTTGCTGGTCCTGGTATTGGTTGACTGCAATAAGGGATGAATACCATGAAATTAATCAATGAGTTTGAAACATGGATCTTGAAAAATGTGTGAGTAATCCAAATACATAAAACCATAAAACAGATACAAACACTGACATTGAGGGGAAGGGGAGGGGGGGGGGGGGGGTTATATTATATAATGGCAACTTTCTTATTGAGCAATTGTCAATGTTAGGGTTAGCAAAGCTGCCATATTAAAGACATCAACATTGTTCAAAGGATCACATCCTTCGCATTGAGTATAAAATATACAAAAGTAATCAATATAAAAGTCAATTTCACTTCATGAAAATGACTTAAACCCAGTTACAATAACTTATTGAAAGTTGATGCTATACTGCTCAAGGATTGTAAATCACAATTAAATAACTTGTATAAATGTACATATTGATTCCTTCATTCACAAAAGTAAAACTTTGAGGTGAATTTGTCAACATTGACTACAAATCACATGTGAATCAGGTCAAATGAATCAATCTAGACTGACATATTGCCCGATATATAATAATCACATTTGTTTCTCACAAACCTTGTTGTTGGTCATCTTGACCTTCATATCCTTGACCTTCGTATCCTTGACCTCCTCCAGCCTGGTCTTGCTGGTATCCATCATACTGGTACGTTGACACCCCTTCACCCATGGCTTGGACTGTCCCGTCTGTGCTCTCCGCACCCAGTGTGCTCAGGTTAGAGGATGATTCCACCCACGGCATGGGGGTGCCGGATGACGAGGGTGGTTTTAATTGTCCCTCCTGTTCACAAAATAAGGCAGAGAGAGAAAATCTTGAAGAATGAGTGACTATGATACAACCATCCCATCTTGAAAGAATATTTACATAGTTTAAAGGAAAGAAGATTTTGTTTCTGGCATAGCTCAAAACTGTACCCCAAATGATCAAAGGCTACCTAACAGATGTCTTAACCATCAGTTAAATGTCAAAATATATCAACAAACAAAAGACATAAGGAAAAGCATTTCAACTGACACACTTTGTAGAAGATAAAGACAATTACAAACAACAAATTGTACAAAATATACATGGATAAAACAAAGAAAGAAAATTGCTACTCACATTTATCTGCAGGAATATATTCTCTAGTGGAACAATCCATTGAGGCTCAGTGATTTCCCTCATGTCATGGAACTCGGGATCATGGTGTTTTAACCTGTTTGACAACTGAGGGTGGGATGAAGTAAAAGGGAGAAGATAATCATTTGTTTAGCCAGTAAGAAAAGCTTGATGTACAAGTTTCTGATACATTTATTAGTAAAATTTGACTTTTATGCCATGACTCAGGAATGAATCTTGAAATAATGCTCTTTTGTGCAGAACTCGTTTTGAATGCTGTACACCAAGATTTCACTGCACATTCATGTCTGTATTGTGAATGGTGTAAAAAATAGGCTGACTGGGAAACATCATCCTCATCATCGTCATTGTCGTCGTCGTAATCATGATAACATGTCGAGTGCATGATTAAATAAGTGAGTCGGAATGGGTGGTACATGAATAATTGTCACCTTGACATCACTGCCGTCAACCTTCATCATCTTCATCATTAACACCACCATCACCACCACCGTCGTCGTCGTTGTCGTCATCATCAACATCATCATCACCACCACCACCATCATCCTCACAGCAATCATCATCATCCCTACTATCATCCTCACAGCCATCATCATCACCACCATTCTCACCACCACTGCATTCTTATACTTTGGAATGAAACAAGGTGTGGTCTTACCTGGCACACTTGGCTCACAAGTGTACTGTTGTAGTAGTTAGGAGAGCACTGGATTGTGTTTGCAATTGTCTCACAGTACCTCAATGCCTGTTGGAAAAGCAAAAAGAATGTACACATCTAAGAAAGCAGGAAAGTTTTGGGTCTCACAGAATTCTCTCTTTCTCTTTTTTTTCTTATTGCCGTTTATTCCACGCTATTTCTACTCAGCATTTTTATTTCCTTTGGATTTCTTTTGCTATATATTTTGTGTGTGTGTGCTTAATATGCATTGATGCATACTCAAGTACTTGATCATAATTCCTTTGAATGAAGACATCCATTTTTTTTGCCTGTCAATCTAAAATGTTCCAGCACATATTTCCATCTGCAAGTAAATATATCACATTACATCACACTGTCACTAAAATCTTGCATTTATCCCTTTACCTGTGATGTAAAGCCGAAGTCAGCGAGCCTGCAGGCATAGATGAATTTGTAAGCCTGGAAGTTTGGAATGAGATAATGCTTGTTTGCCAGCATCTGAGCGTATTCATAGATCTCTGTCAGTTGGATGGCCGAGTTGGTCGAGAACTTGTTGAAAGGCAGGCTGTATACAATCAAAAGAGATGCAATTAAAAAAAGATACAGCTTACATTTTATTAATTGACATGTGTTCTATAGAGTAATGACAATGGTACTACAGAGTATACAGATACCAAAAGAGTTTACAAGGGTTTCAATGATCAGTTTTCTACAAACATTGGGCAAACCTTATAAACCAAGTAAAAATCTTACTGCACGTTAAAGAAAATTAAAGCAGCAAGCTCAATTCTGATTTCCCAAAAGAGATTTCAAGTTGAAGCAATCATCTGATTACAATAAAAAATAAAAAGAAAGAAAAGAAAAAATAAAATAAAATAAGCAGCATTCAAATGAATGTGACAGGTCTCAGAGTTTCTTACTTAATCCTCATCCAAGATTGGTGTATATCATTAATGTCATTAATTGGGTCAATCAACAGATCATAGTACAAGCCCCAAGGTCAATCAACCAACTTACAAATTACAATTGACATTACCACTCATCATTTTAAAGAAAAGTACTACTATTTTTCCTTTGGATCAACTCTGCTTTGCATGTCTGCACCTTCACCTGCTGTCAGGTCACATCCCATCCCAGTATAGCTTGGAAAAGCTGCTTCAAGGATTACCTCATCAAGTATCAAGTTACCACTCGAAACATAAAATGTAAAATATACAATGTGCCTGATATCATCTGCTGAGAGCCAGAAGGGCATTAATTCACAGCCACCATCACAGAGTTCACAGCCTTCTGGATCTCAGCAAATAACATAACAAGACTTCTACACATGCACTTAATCCATACCTTTGAAAATAAGAAATCGCACTTCCAACGGCACTGTAACTGGCAATACGCGGTAAATCTGTACCAAAATGCGAATACAAATTCGCTGCTTGATCATGCAGCCATTCAAGGCATGCAATACGTGAACTCCCAAATCGCGGCACATGATAAAACAAGCTTAATTTGGCTTCAGCACACAACAACAACCCCAACAATCGATATTTTTGAATTTTCAGGTCCTAAAAATCCAGAAAATCTGAATATTCTGGATTATTTGAAGGGTTGGCAGGTATGTTAATCTAATGAATGCATGGGATTGACTTACTTGTGACTTGATCCGAGAAGCACAATCTTGGTGGTCTTCTTGCTGTAGATACCAAAGCCTATCTGAGCCATCAGGTAGCAGAACTGAGACGCATGAAGCAGACCTCTCGATGCTGTCAAATTGATTTTTAATACACACAGTAAAATTGGATGTAGCGATTTTTGGTTGTATTGTTGAATAGTGTTACATGCATTTATGTTGAAGGCTATTAACGGCACAAGTAAACTCCACACTAGATAATTAAACTTTACATATTATCTTTGTACTTTTTAAAGACATAATTATAATGTCATGATGAACAAAATCAAAGTATACTAGCATCCTTTGTTAGTGGATTGGAAAAGGAGTCCTCACACATGGTAAGCAATGCAGGGTTTCTATTTGAAAAATATAAAGGGAGATATTTCACTGTAGCTCTAAGATAGAAATTCAACAAAATTATTATGACATTGACAACAACATGGCTCTGTCAAGCTATTCCAGAGGTCTTTATCCGAACAAATTAATGTCCTATGGATCAATTCAAAAGGGTTCCAGTTTCTACTTCAGTTATGAATATACTGAGCTATTAATGATAAAGTTGAGTTCTGGTCATGCAATTGCATTGTGAAAGCAACGTAGAATTGATCAAAAAAGGTTCTGGATTCATCAAAATGATTAGAAATTTGGGATTGTCTTGGTAAGGTTACAAGCACTGTACACAGAAAGATGTATATGGGACTACACGAACATAAATCTGTCCCAATTTTTATGATGTCACATGCCATATTTAGAATATTAATGCATTTGAAGAGCCATGCTTTTCAGGGAACATTTTTTATCTGATGTTCTTCCACACTTGCGTAGTACAATGATAACCCTCACAAAATATTGTTCACCTCTCCCCAGAACTCAACCTTCTCTTTAATGATAATATGCAGGATAGACAGAGGAGAAAAACAAGACATGTCTGCCAGATATTTGGTGTTATATATATGCATGAAGAAAAAAAATGAACTTACATAAGGAATCTCCCAAAGTCACAACGCTCTTGAAGCCCACTTCAGCGCTGCTGCTCAGGTTGGACATCACCATGGCCAAGTGAGGGCGCCAGTCACCCCACTTTTCATCGTTACAGCTCTGAGGGGAAGAAGAGTTGTAGAATACAAAACAAATAATAATAATAAAAATGGTGCTAATATATTAAAAGCGCTTAACACCAAAGTCTCTTAGGGGAGCCTTCCAAAGTTGCGACTGTGCCCGGATGCGTCGGGGCGCGATGAATAGAACAGTGGCGTCCCAAGAGACGCATTGAGGCGCAAAGGGGCGCGAAGGGGCGCAATAGTCACCCTCACCTGATTCTTGCATATGAAAAGAAACCGTCTATTGTTAGTATAAACCCGCTCTATTCTTCTTGCGCCCTTTTGCGCCCCACCAGGCGATGGAAGATTATCTCTCCCGTCATTGTTCTCGCTCGTGATGCGCGGTACAGCTTAAACTTGATATACAGAAAGTATTTGTCGGCCAAAGCCTGTCTTCCCCTCCTCCGGTTTTCGTTCTGATAAACTTTCCATTGTTTGTAAAAAAAAATGATGTATTCTTCTCGCGTCGCGATCTATTCTTCTCGCGCCGTTTTGCGTCGTAACGGGCGGGGTATTACCTTTCCAATCATTGTGGCGAAGCTTTGCGATGTACATTACTACAGCACAGCATAAACTTCTCTGGTGGGATCGTCTTTGTTTTGGGGGGCAATCAACACACTCGTTCATCTTGATCAGAATACATTATGATTTATTTTTGTTGGGTTTAATACGCCTCCTTTTAATTTTTGTGACGACTGTATGAAATGTGAAATAAAGATGACTATGTACGATTAATGGTTGTTTAATTGCGAGCTTAATTGTCCCCAACAACAAAAAATAAAAGACGAATGATGTGAATGACTACATGTATGCGGTTATAGTCGGCAAATTGATTACTGTTTGGGTCGCTTGTGTATGTTTGTAATTTGAATGATTATCAACATATTTGTATAATTCCCACATCGCGATATGATTCTAGCGTCGTAAAATGGACAAAGGAATTATCTTTCTCTCTCGTCATTCATATTCACGCTACGCGTTGCACATCGCCACAGCCTGAGCTTGGAAGAATTTATATTTTGTCAGTCTAATCCTTTTTTTTTCTCCTCCCATGACTTGGTTCTAATAAATTGAAGGTTTGCTTATTAGGGATAAGAAGGATAACATCAAACAAACGATTTACTCAAGATGACGCTCTTTTCATTTCACCTCGCTGTTTGATAAAGTAGAGTTTTACGGAGCGAATACAAAAGAAAAGTTCGCTCTAAGGCCAAATAAAAGTTTTTTTTTTTTATTAGTGTCCTGTTTTTTCGAAAACTAGGAAGGAGGAGGCCCTCTCTTTTCTTTTCTTTTTCTTTCAAAATGGCCGCTCAAAATGGCCGCTCGGTACATTTTCCCTGACAGTCGGGCTATTTTTCAAAATGGCCGCCAACATCTTTTAACTTTTTAAAAAAATCAGTAATAGATCCATTTTAGTATTGTTTTTCATATTATTTCCCCCAAAATAAAAAATAGGAGGCGGCCCCCAAAAAGGAAGCAGGCGGGGACGCTAAACATGTATATTTTGTTAAGTGGCCTCAGGGAAAAAAAAAACATAAAATGCCGTGGCAGGATTTCACGCCCGAGATATGCCTTCGAAAATTGCCCGTCCAAAAGGCGTTTTAAATCATAATAATTCCATAGCTCTTTTTAAAAGTGGAATAAATAAAAAAAAAGAGTCCGGGAACTATATCGAGATTATAAAACATGTGTGTCATGAAGATGTAAACAAAAAAGTGTAGCCTGATGGTGATAAAGTTGAGCAGCAATTGGAAATGCAATACAAAACATTAATCAGTTCATGATGATAATTAATCATTCGACACAACATTCGAATCATTTATTCGTAGATTTTAATAATTAAGTGGCGAAAGTGAAATTTTGAAATCTTAATGCACAGATACAAAAAACATACCAAACATGTTTTGATTCTTATTCTAAAAAAAAAAACCGGCAAATTTTAAACGATCTTTTTAAAAGGAGGGAGGCGCTATAGCCCAGTGGTAGAGCAGAGCAGCTCGTAACCGGGAGCTCCCTGGTTAGAAACCAAGTCGATATGCTATTGTAAGGCATAACTCAACATTACATTTCGTTCGGAGAGGATCTTAAACCCGCCGGTCCCCTGTTTGCCTAATTCATAGCATACACATGCTTCATATAGCAGTCAGGAAAAAAAAAGCGAATGGTACAGGAAGCTACCTTTTATGGATAGGCCTAAATTGAAGGTTTGGCTTAACTAGGGAGAAGAAGGATAACATCAAACAATAGATCTACTCATGATGACGCTCTTTTCATTTCACCTCGCTGTAAGATAAAGTAGAGTTCTATGGAGCGAATACAAAAGAAAAGTTCGCTCTAAAGGTAAAAACATAGAATGCCGTGGCAGGATTTCACGCGACTATTGTTTGATCGCTATAATTGTCCGACTTGCTATAGATTCTTGTTTAGCTACACATATGTGTGTGTGTGTGAGAGAGGGGGGCGGCGAAGTGAACGGCCGGACCAAAATGGCAGAGGTCAATCAGGAGGGCTCCGCTCGCTAGTTATAAGGACCGCTAATTCATTGGACAACTATTCATGAAGACCGCTATTCGTAATTTGAGAACATGGTCATTATGTATAAGGGTCATGAATTCGTAATACGACATCCCCCCTCCCCAAAACTAAATAAATAAATAGAAAACATGAATAGATTAATAAACTTAACTAATGATACAATAACAAATAATGCCCGGTAATTGGGAATAGCCGCCTATGAGCGGAACAATGGGCGCAACAACTATTAGCTGCTCAAAGAGCTGTCTTTTGTCATTGCGTTGCAAAAACAAAGTGCTTTTAAAAGTTACATGTACTATAATATCCGTATGCTATATAACACCCAATGTGAACATGACGTGTTCAGGCCTTATAACTATATACAGTGCACGTTAAAACAAAAGACTTTACTAGCGCTAGCTAACAAATATGAAACGTCAAAACGTCACGAACATTGAAGATAACAAATTGTTAAGACAAATGACACCACCAATAAAGTTTCTTCGCGAAGAAATATTCGATCGAATTTCGTGTTTGGAACAGATAGGCGATTTCGAATTGTTCAATCTACCGAAACGTTTTGATGATGCAGGCTCCCGACAATAGGACTATCATTTGTGTAATATCTTTAATTTGCAGATGTTTGTTTGTTTTGTATGACATATTTATAAACGCCCTATAATCTTATTTCAAGCAGAATCTTTCAATCTCTTTGATTATAAGTATCATTTTTAAATCACGGGTATTTAAATACAATAGCTGATTTTGCGAAGATTTAGAGAACCTACGTTTCTATTCTTTAAATCGATCTTGCATGAGAAAGAACAGAGTGATGATATAGATATATGACCTATTTTGATCGGATGACAGAACAAAATAAATGTAATATGAAACAAATAATGTGTCAAAACATACAGAAGGAATACAATTATACATATCGTTTTTGTTTTGTTCGTGAAGAAATTAATATAATACAAGTAGTGAACACATTAATGAACAGAAATGAACAATCATAAAAACGTCAACGCCTACACAACTTCGATATTTGGGAGGAAAATAACAATCAGAACAACAATCTAAATCAATGTCTTGTACGTAAAATAATAATAAAACATATCAGTAGCCAAAGTGAAAATTTTAGAGTCAAATCTTTCAAGACGAGAGCGGACACACACGCGGGGATTACATGAATAACTAATGCGTAGGAACGGGCGCGAAAGCTTTTCAAATTCACAAATTCACAATTCACAAAAAGCGCTTCGCCTTTAAGCGCACCCCTCCCCCCCCCCCCCCCCCCCCCCCCGAATGAGTGTTATGTAGGGTACGCATATGCATTTTCCCTCCTTTTGAAAACAGTCCCCTAAGTCCGGTGTGTAAAGTCAATACGGGCCGGATTTGTGTGTACTAGACGAGCCGGACTTTGGTGCGTGAAAAGTACCCCTTTACCAGACAGTAACAATGAGTCTCCAAACAATAGCCAGATTTGATATTCATATTGTGAGCATGTGCTTAGTTATATCGGGATTCCCTGGTTATATTGAAGACGTGGGCTAATATCTGTTTGCCCAGTATTTCTCGCTGATTGTTTGACCAACATTAAATTGCTATTGTCCAGCTGACTTTTCTAAAGGCTTTTCTACCCTCGGCGCTAAAGGGATTGCGGAAAATTTCAACACTATTTGTGTTTCTTGATGACCCAGTAGAAGAAGAATAAGGGCTACCCTGCCCCCCCCCCCCCCCCGAAAAAAAATGTCCCAAAACAACGCAATCATTATTAATTCCGTTTACTACTTGATACCAACACGTGCATGATGGATCCCCCGGATGGATCCTTATTTAGACAGTGAGACAGTTCTGTTACGAGAAGCAATTCAACGAATTGCCATGGCTTGTATATGTTCTAGAACGCACTACGCTCTTTCGATAACACGTGGCCCCTATTCAGCACTATATATACGTATTTTAGTTATTCTTAACAATGACCTAGATCTAAAACTGGCAGCGGATGTAACCCCCCCCCCCCCCTTCGTCGCAAAGAAATATTCGATAAAATTCTTTGACACAGAATGATAAACTAATTTCTTCTTGAGATATGTTCGGGGTGAAATTTCAAACATCATTTCCTGGTAACTCTCTCATGTACGTAAAATAATATTAAAACAAATCAGTAGCCAAAGTAATGCTTTTCAGAGTCAAATCTCGCAAGACGAGAGCGACACACAAGCGGGCACTACATGAATAACTAATGCGCCGGACCGGGCGCGAAAGGGCGCGAAAGCTATTCAAAGTTTAAGCTCCCATTCACAAATGTCAAGTGCTTCACCGGGGCGCGCCCCAGCGGGGTAATTTCGTAACAATGAGACTCCAAACAATAGCCAGATTTTAATGAGCTGGCAACCAACTGAAGTCCTCTCCTATCCGACGCAAAAAGGCGCTAATGGGCGCATAAAGGCGCCTCCTTTGTTCTCATATCCTGCTCTGCGCCCCGACGCGTCGCGACACAGTCGCAACTTTGGAAGGCTCCCCTTAGCGCTATAACAAACAAAATACAATGATAAACAATCACATATTGAATAAAAACAACAACAAATAAACCAGTACAAACAAGTCAACATAAACAATCCAAACATTGACAACAATGCTGTCTTATCTTATCCTATACTTTTCACACTTGTTGATTTGATACTTCCTCGTTGAATCACACATCGTTATAATATATAACTGTGAATTTAGTTTTCTAATCAAATAAAAAATGTAATATCATATCAGAACAGATTGAAAGAACATTCCAAAATAGTTGACTAACTCCCATGCTTTACAAATTATTCTCCTGTCAAAACACATTCATATACAACCTTCGGCCTCTTCTTGCTCTGTAATTGGAGAAAGGAGTACTGCTTTAGTAACAAATTCATCCAAACTAGTACCACCACGCCCTACTTTTCTTTATTTAATGCTAAATACTTGTAACACAATTCTTTGCCTCTTCATAGTTAATCTTTCATCCCCTTTCCCCTCTATATTCCTTCTCTTTCCCCTTCTTTAGTTTAGACCCTCTAGCACATGACTATACTCACGGTGACGGCAGCAGGTTGTCGATCTGACATCAGCTGGTACAAGGTCTGCAGAGGATCGTTCATTGGAAGACTGTTGGCAAACCTGAATGACGAGAAAAGATACCAACAACTTAAATTACAATTACGTTTTTAAATCACAAAATTAGATGAGAATGTAGGCACAGAATATGTTTGTTTAGAACTGGGGCCCGTATTACAAAGAGTTGATATCAAATCGCAAGTATGTACATAAGAGATAGGAGACTGCAAACTTGCGATTGATTAGAGGACTTGCGGTTGATTTGGATCAATCGCAACTCTTTGTAAGACGGGGCCCTGGTAACAGGTTCTAGAGCAGTCAACAACACTGAGCAACAAACGTTATGAGAATGTAACTTAAATGAGAGTTGCAGATGAAAAGAGGTTCATAAAGTCATAGTTCATGAACTATTTCTTGTATACAAACATAACGGGTGCAATCAGCACAAGACAATTGTCAAATCCCTAGGAAATAAGTAATCACCCATTTTCAATTAACTGAAGAGTGATCAAGTAATTTTCAAACTTTGATTACAAGGTGATCCAAGCTGCTCTGGTAGCATTTGCTTCAGCTTTTATTGTTTCAAAGATAAATGGCGAAGGTTGAGGTGTGTTTGGGTCTTAAGTTAGACTTTAAGGGTAAGTTTATGTAGTGTTTGCTCTGAACTTGAAGTTCAAATATTAATAGCGTTTGACATTCATCATAGAGAAAATGTGTACCATCTGCTCACAGCCAGATAGACATTAACTCTAAGCAATATGATGGATGTTAAAGCCACACTGCACTACTTATAGCTTCTTGCGCCCTCTATATAGCAAACCATGCCTAATCGGTGACCGTTGGCCCCCCATGGTCCCCTTTTTCTTATGTTAACTGAGAGCTGATTTGATGAGATATCCTTCCTGGCCAAACTAGTGCAGACAGGCTTTAATGCCACACTGACTCCCACAAGACTTGCACATATCACATAACTTGGACTCGTTTCACAAAGCATTTTTTCAATGACAAATGACAAAAATCAGTGAAAAATCTGCTAATAACCGATCAGAGGCAAGGATTTCAGTAGCCTATAACAAAAACTGTCATTTGTCACTGATGACTTTGTGAACCCCCCCCCCCCCCTCGAGCTCATTACCTTGTCATGACACTGGCATGTGTCCTGTTGTCCATCTTACTGGCTAGGAGAAGTGCGTGACCCCAAAGACCTCTCTTCATGGCCCACTCCAGTGCTTCCTGAAATTACACAAGATATAGAATACAACTGAATATTGTAAACTTAAAAAAGAGACAGAAAAAAGCGATAACAGGACAACAAATGAGAGTCGTTGAGAATAGGAGGGAAGAGGTGGACATATGGAAGTTACGAGTCACACAGGGAGAGCGACAGAAAAGAGAAGAGACAGACAAACAGATAGACAGGCACACAGGCAGACAGACAGACTAACACACATACAGACATAGAAACAGACAGGAAAAACTGACAGACAAAAAGACAGGCAGGTAGACACAAAGAGAAAGAGAGAGAAAGAAAAAAAAAGACTGACAGAGGAGACACATTGGCACGCAGACAGAAAGATAAAAGAACAAAGACAGACACATCTTCCTTTTTTCCATTCCATTTTCAGAAAAGTTTATAATAATACACACATTGACAACATGTCTGATTTAGATAAACTTGTTGACACAGATATTTTCTGTATGATTTATCATTCTCTTTTATAATTGTTTTACAAATAATTTACCAATGTATTCTACAAACACTCTCTACAAATCACCGGTAGAGCATTTCTTTTGCTCTTGCATTATCTTTTTTCCTTGTCTTTTTCCTTTTACAGTGAAACCTGTCTATAGCGACCGCCCAAGGGAAACACAAAAAGTGGTCTTAGTAGACAGGTGGTCTTTGTAGACAGGTTCCTTTGGTACATGTTTCAATGAGAAACCATTTTGAAGGGAAACAAAAATTTGATATTTGTAGACAGGTGGTCACTTAAGCAGGTTTGACTGTATTATGTAACTTACCTTCTTCCTACCAAACAGGAGTAGCTCTCTAAACCTATGAGTCTGCTTTACCGCGTCCTGGGCATCATTAGACTTGGGCAGCAGAGAGAGCACGTCAGATATATCAGCTCCGTCCTGCGTTGCTTCTCCGTCCGCCGTCCCTTCTTCTGAAGACGATGGTTCCCTGCTTGTCATCGGGTGGTCCTTGAGAAGAAGATCTGAAATGTCCGTCTCGACAACGGTCTGAGGGGGGAGAAGAAAACTTAATCTCTTAAAGTGACTCGGTAACATTGCCTCAGATTCTGAAACAAAATCCTGGATTAGCTCATGCTACAATGATAATTATAAACCTTTAGTTCAGTCAGGAATCCCATGACTTTTACAAGTTGATTGCATGTCTGATTATCAAGATATTTATGATTGGATATAGAAATTTCATTTTTCGTTTTCCTAACAGCTTTTATAATACTACAGTGTATTGGGGAAATGAGTAAGGTAAAACCGGTCACTCAGGTTTTTTACTTTGTTGAGGCACTTCATGATCATTTTGAAGGGCAATTTTTTTAGGGCTTCGATATTACACCATATCACAGAAACTGATAACACGTAGGGCCATGCATCTCAGATTTAACATTGTTAAAGGATGCCTTTAAGTTTAGGTTAACATTTTGCAAATCCTAACTTACCCCATTTTGACGACAAAGCAACACAAGCAGGTCCCAGAGTAGGGCTGCCGATTCTTTATCTGAAAGGTCTGTGCTCTTTCTGCACTCCGTGGCTTGGGCGGAAGCAAAATGCAGGACATCATTCTTGTGTGTCTCTCCCCTAGAGAAAATAATTCAATAACAAATTGTTCAGATGCATGTCAGACTATGCGATATAATACTGTTAGTGTGTACTTCTTTCAATGCTTCAAGGCAATACTTTATAAATAGATAATAATAATGATATTGGGCTCTTGTAAAGCGCTCATATCTGTCAAACTTGACACTCCTGGCGCTCTTGATTATTACCCTGGGTTTAGCATGGCTGCCATTACGGCGCTCCAGCATTTCAAGGAATTCATTCCTACCAGGTACCCATTTCCATTACCTGGGTTGAGTGTGGCAAATGTAGACCAATGTCTTGCCAAAGGACATTAGTGCCATGGCCGGACTCGAACTGCGGACCTTGTGATCGACAGTCTAGTGACGTATCCACTCGACCACAACAACTCTACATAGGTAGGTTTAAATGTAGGTTATATACAACTTCCATTGGCCCAATTGTGATGGACTTAAACCCTTTGTATGGAATTGATTGACAGGGCGGTAGTGTTATCCTGATAAGCTTGTATGACCTCATACGAAAAACAAGTTGATACAGAGCAATCAGGATTTACCTGGAAGTCAAGTACTGATGCTAAGTCCATTTCAATTATCTAGAATTTCCCTGCAGATGCACATGAATTTATAAAAAAGTTCATAAGAATAAATCAATGTAAACTACATGAATTACAAAAGGGGGAGAGCAAATCAGGGACCTGTTTCACAAAGCATTTTTTCAATGGCAAATGACAAAAATCAGTGACAAATCTGCTGATAACCAATCAGAAGCAAGGATCTAAGTAGCTTATAACAAAATATGTTGTTTGTCACTGATGACAAGTTTTGTGACATGGGGCCCAGATCTTACTTACTTGATCAACGGACCAGGATAGCCTTTGTATTCTGCAACTTCATCGCAATGCTCAATCATTGTCTATAGAGGAAAGAAAAATGAAACTCACAATTTTATTACATCCATCTAATATGTATGAATGTATCAATACATATTGGTTACTTTCTTGAATGGTTTCTTATACCCCTCTTTCAGTTCATTTCAATTAATTGGTAAATTAATTTTGCACACTTCCTAAAAATATGTCTTTCAACATTCTAAAAAGTGAGCACATATTAGTACGTTGAAGGAAAAGCTTGAAATTAGTCATTATTACGACCACTGAATATATGTGGATTCAAAAGGAGATTATTTTACCCAGAAACACACAACTTGAAAACATTTCACCCCTGCACTATATGCTTACGATGTGGTAGAAAAGAACAATCAGGCCCTTAACCCTTACTGTACTGGGCTATTTTGAGCACCCTCTGACTGGGAGCCCCCCCCCCCCCCCCCCATGATCTCGGCCGTCGAATGTCCGATGAACACGAAAATTTGCATATTTGTAGATATTTACGTAAGGAACAAGATGGTATAATTAGTTTTTTCCTAATATGCAATTTTTTTCGTTATAGCCTAATTAATTATGCAAAATGCTAACTTTATGCATTTTACAGAAAACACTACATATTTGTCTGCAGACTTGTGAAGAATCTTGAAAATGTATTGAATAAATGTTTCCTTCATCTCAAATTCATAAGGTTTCACTATTTTTATGATATTTGAAAATGCATAGGTTAATTTGCATAAATTATGAATACGCAAATTACGCATTCATGAATATCAAATCTGGAACTATATTTAGGGAACTAGAATCATAACAAAAATTGTCAGACTCCACTTTTTGAATGTTGAGACTGGTTATTCATATGAAACTTCTTTTCTAACACAAAATAGTTATTTGATGTCATTAATAATGATAATTTATGCAAATTTGATGCAATTTTCAACTATTTATTTTCTTATGTATTTTATTGTTTTTTATTTCTTATTATATCTATTGTTTTATTTCTAATGTATTCTTATGTTCTAGAATACATCAAGTTACTCTGAGAAACATATAAAAGCAATTTGATATCAATTCATATCTTCACATTTCTGCTTGTACATGAATATATGCAATTATGGCACTTTTTTGAGGACATGCGCATACTAATTGTTATGTAACACCTTACAGGTATATCCGATTTTGACGAAAATGGTATCAAAATGTGCGCAAGACTTGAGGGAAAAAAGTCATGAAATGACAATTCAAAATTCCAAGTGGTTGCGGCGCGATCTCCGAAAAAGTCAAGGGGGGGCCTCCCAGGTCCCCCCCCAGTACAGTAAGGGTTAAAAAAAAAGACGTTATATATTGCCGTTTGGTGCCAAAACATGGGTCGGTTCGTCAGAAATCTTTTTTTTATATTAATTTTTTCCTTCTTTTTTTCCTTCTTTTTTCCCCTCCCTTTTGGGCTGATATTTCTCAGTTTTGAATGCTTAAATACATATTTCTTTTATTCATTAAACATTTTTTTTCTAAAAAACTTGCAAAGGGCAATACACATTCTTTTTTTGTACGCCTAACTGACCTCTAAATTGTGAACCTCCACCAAAGCTGGCATGCCATCAGCTGGCACGTTGGGCAAGACCTTGATGAGCTGACCACCAGGGCTGAACCTGGCTATTACGTGGGGTAGGGGGTGCTTGACCGGAGTACGCCTCTCCGGTGGAGGGGGTGTGACTGAAATGAGAGGGTGGTAGAAGTTAGTGTTGTAACATCATGGATATTTCCAATTACGTTTAACCGCTAGTCAAAACTTTCAGTTAAACGATATATTAAAAAAATAAAAAAAAATTTTAATTAAAAAGAAAAAGAAAATCACAATATTTACAAATAATTTACATACTTAGAAACAAAATCACTGACCAAAAACAGAGACTTTACTGCTGGCATGCATTGAATCAATTATTAGCTTCATAAACAAAGTGAAACTTAGCTATTATTCCAATGCAAGCCTGACAGTAAAGTCTCTGTTTTTGTTCAGTGTTTTTTGTTTCAAATTTTGTACATTATTTGTTAATAATGTGATTTCTTTTTAAACCAGTACCAGTATATTGACTAATTAATTTAACTCCTATCATCCATTTTCAGAGAAAGTGTATGAAAAACTGAATAGTTCTTTATCCTGTATGGAACTTCCATCTTAAGCAACTACCTTTGTGCAGAACAAAAGTCACAATTTTAGGAAGAATCTTTAATAAAATTGAAATTTTGTGGAGACAAATAAATACAAAAATATATGATACACAAGCATTAAAGATGTGATTAAATTCTAATGATTGGATCGTTGTGATTGAATTTTTCTGATGCATCTCCCTATCTACAAGTAAGATTTCATTTTGCAGATATGCTTCATCTCCTAGATCTATCAAATAAAATCCAGAATTCACAATCTAACTTAGACTGAAGTTCTAATCCACATAACGCTTAATCATTATTTTAAGCTTATATAATGAGAATAATATGTGAGTTGATAGCTTACAAGAACTTTGTTGCGGCTCCTCATGCTGCCACGATTGATCTTGATTGTAGTACTGACTGCCGTCATAGGTTGCCCTGTCTGATGCATTCATACCGTCATAGTAGCCCTGATCTCTCCTCCAGCGTGGGTCGGTGGTGTCGTACCCAGAGGAGGAGGAGGGGTAGATGGCGCTCTGATCGGTGCCGTAGTGTTCAGGCGTGCCTCCACCTTGGTGGTGGAAGTCTTCTTTGAAACTGGATGAGTTGTGTGAAGGTAAAGGGGAAGAGGAATCAATTATATTACATTAATATTTATACTGCTTATAAGTATATGCTTGCATGGTGATGTAGATATACAGTAGGTTTGCGGTTGCACCATGTTCGAAACGTCTGAAAGTTTTCCATCTCCGCTGCCTGAGGCGAATCCTAGACATCAAATGGCAGGACCACATTCCAAACAAGGATGTCCTCAAGAAAGGAGGCATGATGAACATCTATGCTGTTCTATCACAACGAAGACTGAGATGGCTTGGTCATGTCAGTCGAGTGGAAGACGGCTGCATCCCAAAAGACATAATGTACAGAAAATTAGTGACCAGGACTAGGGCTGTTGCTGTTGGAAGACCTGTCCTTCGCTTTAAGGATGTGTGCAAGAGGGATATAAAGGCCAGTGAAATCAAGCCCTGCATGGAGACGCATTGTGAAGACGGGTATACAGAGGAGTGATCAGAGGAGAGTAGAACAGTGAGAGGAGAAAAGACAACAAAGACAGCAGCTAGCTACGGCTTCAACAGCACAGCCAGCCACAAATGACTTTTATCTGCAGCAACTGCAACAGGACCTGCCTCTCTAGGATTGGACTGTTCAGTCACAGCAGGAGCTGCACACCAAGAAACTGAACTGACTAGTATAGCGCAATATTCTATTGTCTTTCGAGACAGACAGATGCCGAGGAGGAGACGGTTGCACCATGTTCGAAACGTCTAGCCCCTCCTACTACCCATCCTCTCCAACCAGCGCTATAGTGCTGCTTAGAACTATAAGCTCAAGAAAGATTACCAACAGTCCTTTTCAGGACTACACACACACACTCAAGAAAGAAAGATTACTGACAGTCCTTTTCAGGACTTCCCAATCCCGCCCCCCTTCTCTCTCACATGATGCAACCGTAAACCTACTCTATATATTAATATTACATCCATTTCCCCCTTTCTTATCCCTCCTTTTCTTTCTTCTTCCTTGATCTTAAGTTTGGTGTTACCCACACCAAATAGAATGTCCAAATTCAGACCCTAGCACATAATATCAGTTGTGGTTGTTCTACACAGTACCAATGGGGGTAAAACTAGGAGGATTCAGAAGAAGCAGTACTTCAGAAAACAGTCAAACCTGTATATAGCGACCGCCCAATGGAAACACAAAACATGGTCTTTGTATACAGGTTCCTTTAGTGCATGTTTCAATGAGACACCTTTTTCAAGGGAAACAAAAAATGTGGTTTATGTAGACAGGTGGTCACTAAAGCAGGTTTGACTGTATACAATAGCACAGCTAGGAGGCCTGATTTAAATGGTATAACTTTACCTCTCATTTTGGCTGTCGTCTTTCTTCTCCGTTAGAGATGCGTCTGATACATTGGATGATGCATCTTGTGAGTATGGCTGAGAACCTGACCTGTTCCACTGTTGTTCATAATACTTCTGAAATAACAAAAAAATTAAAAACATGTTTAAAGGAACTAATTTATTCGATAAAGTAACAGTGCAAGAATAATTGAAAGCTAATAGCTAGAATGAAGGATGTTGATACATACAGGACTTTCATTGATTCCTAGTCTTCGAGCGAATTGCCGGCGAATCTTCCCAGTACAACAACAAAAAAGGCAAAACATTTTTCATTGCAATTTTAAATCCATCTAATACTTTCCACAATGAAAAATGAAATAATTTAAATTGTAAACACCATAAAAATCATGATAAAAGAGCCATGTCCTTTGTTCTTGAAAAATTTCCTGTCTGTCTTTGATACCTATAATGATGTAAGAGTCAACTGAGAGAATTATAGAGCAGATATTAAAAACTGCTTGTGCATACAAATTTTATCCATAGTTTCAATTTTCTAAGCATGAATGGAATTGCAAAGTAAGTTAAGCTCAAATTACCTGATAATCCTCATCCTTGTATTGGCTGCTCTGTTTCCTTCTGTAGTATTCATAATAGCGTCTGTCATAAGGACGACCATACTCATCCACACCTGCAAAAACGTGAGCAAGAGAAGAGAAAGTTTGCACTTTATTTATCTTTTAAGTTTTTTTAATCTTTTTTAAGTCATAGTAAAACCATATCTATCAATCACTGTCATGTATTAACACAAAAGTATTAGACATAAAGTATGATTTCTGACTAATTTTACTGTATTTTAAAGCCTATCTGCACTAGTTTGGCCAGGAGGGATAAGACCTCTCTGGTGGTCACTGGCAGGTGGTTATCTCACCAAATCAGCTCTCAATTACCATAAGAAAAAGGGGACCGTGGGGGATCAACGGGTACCACTTATGCGGTGGTCACATCCCGCCGTACTTACAAGTGCGTGCTGTCTACGTGCAAAAATGTGGGCAAAATTTGGGTATCCGTACGTGATGAGTACCACCTCCGTACGGATTTGGGAGCACGCAGGCACACCGTAGCAATTTTAGTGCAGGAGGAACTTTCGCTGCGTTCGGGCTGCGTTCGGGCTACCGATTCACCCCAGTGCGTGTGATGTGCGCGCCCGGTACTGCCAACGAGCGCACAAGGCACTGACTCCGTGCGTCTTTTAAAGGCGCACGTGATAAGTGCATGGTCCGTGCTTACTCGCCACTTCCCCAGTTCAGCTATCCAATGAGCACGCAGAACTCATGTGGACCGTACCGAGTAAGGACTTACAACGAACGTTGTTCGCTCGGATTTATGCAGTATATAGTCTCTTCGGTGGAATGGGCGGCATCTTGAGGCAGCAACAACTGGGACTTCTGGAGAACATTGGAATGTCGTCCTATATATACACCGGGTTCATCGCACGTGCATGCACTTACAACATGCGAGTGAGTAAGGACACCGTACGTGAGCAGCACTTGTAAGTACGGCCTCCGTACGATAATGTGGCAACCGCACGTTGTAAGCACGTTGTAAGCACTTACAACACACTTACCACGTGCGCAACGTGAGATGCACGCAACCGTTCACGGCCAGGCGTGGCGTGCGGGCCACGTACTTACACAGTGCGTGACGCGCGTTGCCGGTACTCCCTCCCTGCCTTTGCCACCCCCTCCCTACGTTTTCAGAAAAACGTGGTGGCCGTGGCCTCCCCAAAAACCGTACGGACTAAAAACACGCACGGTGGGATGTGACCAACGCTTTAGGCATTTTGGCTGTAGAGAGGGCGCAAGTAGTTACAAGTAGTGCAGTGCTGCTTTAAGACACATTCACAACAATGAAGCTGTTAATTGGCCTCGTATGACCAAACCATGGATGAAATTGCATTTTTGTTGTGCTTGTATTTTTATTTTTGATGTTTAAGTGTTCATATAAAATGCTATCACAAATTCTTCCAAAATCAGATTATAGTCGGATTGGGTAGTTTGCGCTGGGCTAAAGGATTAATGCCCTTCTGGTGCCACAATGCATAACTCTCTGAGCCATCTGAGAGGATGATACTAGTTACACATACCTGCGTAATACCTAGGATCTCTCCTACTCCTTTGATACCTCTGGTCATAATCCTGTTCATCTTGCCATCCCTGCCGCGACGTGGGCCTCTCACTCCCCTGCCTCGACTGTGGTCTCTCCCGTACCTGACCTTCAGCCGACCTCTGTGGCGTTCGCTGCATGTGCTGGGCGTACCCCTGGTAGTATTGGTCCTGCCTGGCGTAGCCGCTTTGGCGAGCGTAGGGGCTGCCATACCCGTAGCCCCTGTACCCTGGCCCGTACCCACCGCCCTGGTAGTAGCTACCCTGAGGGTAGGGCTGTCTGCCTGCTGCGGTGGGGTACCACTGGCCTCCCTGCTGTGTAAGGTACAGGAAAGAGAAAATACATAATTCTCATGGTCAACTGAAAGAATATAGGCCAGACATTAAGCTTGGGTTGGTTTTGAAATTATGGTTAACGTCCAATAAAAACAGTACTTAATCCGAGTACATGATAATGTGATAATGCATGTTTCACCAACAATGCTTTTCATTTTGCCAGGTTGCTGCAGAAAAATGACATGAAATATCTAATTATCATTTTATAACTTCGGTCATACACATAATTTTTCCTTTTTTCAACAGGTTGAGCAGATAATTCATTTTGAAACAGCCTAGATGCTGTTCATAGTTTGATATCTTCAATGAACAAACACAATTTGATCAAATATCAATCTTACCCCAGGCGGGTATTGGTTGTAACCAGGCTGCTGACTTTGGGGTCCTTGTGGTTGTTGTTGCTGTTGTAGTGGCATTTGCTGCTGCTGGTGTTGATAGTCTTGTTGTAATGGCTGTTGAGGTTGCACTGCAGTTACACCCTGTTGCCCAGGAACAACATTTTGTTGTTGCAAAGGTGGTGGGTTGTTCATATTTGTTTGCTGTGGCTGGTTTGGCATGTTACCACTAAGCTGTTGTGGTTGCTGCAGGGGAGTACTGGCAACACCAAATCCCTGAGGTGGAACTGCAGGATTGGTTGGTTGTATTCCTTGCACTGACATTGCTGGCTGTGCTTGACTCATTTGTGGCTGAACAACATTTTGTTGCTGAGCAGTTGGCTGAACGGGATTAGGTTGTGTCAAGGCGACAGGTTGGACGTAGGCAACAGGATTTTGGCTTGGGTTTGGGTTAAGGTTTGGGTTTAGCATTTGTGGCTGTTGTTGGCCTATATGGACACCTTGAACATTGCTCATTGGGGGCACGACTGATGTTGACGGGTTAGGCACAGTCTTGCTCATATCCAGTTGGGAAACACTCTGGGTTACCTGTTGCACATGAGTTGGTGCTGATGTTGTTGCCTTTGGTTGGCTACCGTTGCTAACTGGAGGTTGTGGAGCAGGGTTGTTAGTTCCTGCAAGTAGTGAAGCAGCAACTGATGGTACTGGTGGCACACTCACAGAGGCAACAGAGTGAGCAAGCTGTCTTGGAGTTGACAGCGATGGTGATGATAAGGTACTAGGTCCTAATGGATTCATATTGGTTGATATATTCAGAGCAGGAGCCAAAAGAATGTTCCCTGGAAGAGCAGGGACTTCTGTTTGCCATAAGGGTGGGGAAGGGTTCACAGAGATATCTCTATGACCATGATGACCGCGCACTTGTCGAAAAGCACTTGGATGAGAGCCTGATGAGAGCGAGTCTGAGCGTTTCTTTCCAGAATCCTCTGGCTCTGATGATTTACTTGTTTCAAGGGATGAGTGGTTTGAGAGAGAAGATGGATTTGAGGGTGAAGTCAGGTCTGACTGGTTAGGATTTACAGGTGGTTGTTGGTGTGGTTGTTGATAAGGTTGCTGGTGTGTCTGTTGGTGTTGCTGTGGTAAGGGCTGTGTGGGGACAATGGGATCATCAGTTTGACTGGCATTTGGATCCTGGGTAGAAGGTGGCCCAGAATTTGTTGCAGATACAGCGGTATTCTCAGGTCCATCAACTCTGCTTGGAAGATCACCACCATCACTCCTCAGAGAGGATAGTGGTGATTCTTCTTGAGATACTGGAGGTGGTAGTGGTTTCACAAACGACTCTGCATCCTGTTGACTGGACTGCGCTGACAGCGAAGACACAGGCACCGAGTGACAGGCATCCAACTGATGGACCACTTCTGCACTCTCAGAAGGGTTCAACACCAATGAGTGAGCTGGAGATTCTTCACGTTGGACAGGCTCAATGTCAGAGTTTGGCACAGAATTGCTTTCATTTGGACTTTGGTTATATGGCTCTGACTGGAGTCCCTCAAAATTGCTGTTATCAGTCACAGCACTACCACAATCATGGGGAGAACCAAAGGTGCTGCTTAGAGGGGCAACACTTTGACTGTCTTGATTCAATATGGATGACTCTGTGGTCCTGTCCTGTATTTCTCCTGGACTGGCCATGTTTCTTTCGGAAGTCTGATCATAGCCGGATGTAGGTATGTGACTGCTACCTAGTGGAGAAGGTTGGAATGGCTCACTGTTTGAGTTTGTTTGATAAATTTCTGATTTTGCACTTTCTTGTAAATGCCCTCGTTCATTTGTCTGTGATTGACTATTGGGATCAGGTGCACTTGTATCAGGGCTAGTCCTTTCACTCACATTCGCGCTGATCTGTGCACTTCCTTTATCGCTTGAAATCACAAAGTCTGATCCATCATCATTGAAAAATGCACCAAATCCTGAGTTTCCTGAGGTATCTTCCTGCTCAAAATTCTGTGTGGGATTTTCAGAATGGCCACCTTCTTGATGGTTGTTCGTCGAAGGATGCATATCTGTTCCATAACCATATCCAGGATGTGCGAATTGATCTGACGGATAGCTATCATTCGCTTGTTGTCCAGTATGGTTGCCTTGGTTTTGCCAGTGTCCATCCTGTCCTTCAGCTTGGCTTACTGAAGTAGAAAGTCCATAGTCAGGATCAGAAGGTGCTTGCCATCCTTGTTGATAGGGCATCTGTCCATGATCACCCTCAGGATTCAGTGTCTGCTGCTGTTGCTGCTGCTGGGGTGTGCTTTCCCCGAAGTCATTCGGGTTGACCTGCTGCTGGCCGTAGTCGTTCTGCTGCTGCTGCTGCTGAAACCCGTCTTGAGAGAAAGGTTGCTGGTGCTGATATGCATTTCCTCCACTGTAAGGGTTGAAGATTTCGGGCTCCTGACCGGCTGCAGCCTTCGGGAACTCTGCAGGGTTGTAAAACTGGGGAGCCTGCTGAGGTTGATACTGTTGTTGGTGCTGTAGGTCTTGGGGGATTCCCCCTGGAGCAGAGGTCTGGTCCTGAGGTGGAAAGTCCCACTGATTCATGTTGGGTTGATTGTGGTCAAAGAAGCCAGGACTGTTTCCATCAGCAGAGCCTGTCATCAACAAAATGAGAATAAGATTCAATAGAAAATCATATTTCACAATAATATTCACACAATTTTATAAATCACTTTTTAACACATCAGAAACAATTTCAATTCCATATTATGCATTTACAACTTAGGTGAATTAGTGTAATAATGGCTTAAATGTAGATTCTCATAGGGTTTAAATATATGTATCATAATAATGCTAAAATGACTTTTTTTTTTTATAGCACATAACATACATGTAACATAACTTAAATATCAGTTAATTTTCCAATTTTCCTTTTGATCATGAATTAAGTATTTGAAAAAAATAAAAATCCCAGAAAAGACATCAATAGCAAATATCTACCGGTATAACAAAAAAGTGTAAAATCTTACCATTGTTGAAATAAGCTGACGTTCCATTGGGATTCCCAGACCCTTCATTTGCTGACATGATCTAAGGAACCTCCTACAATGTAGACAAGGATTTCTGCATAGGAAAAATTCAAATACATAGGCAAGATTAAGTGACACTAATTGATGTACACGTAGGTCTAGGGTCGTACAACACTTGCTCCTGCGACAGTTGCTCTGTGTCAATTCCCTACACTAAATTTTTTTTTATCTCCAACCCTGGGCCCAACACTATACCTATCTCTAGTCCTAGCCCTAAACCTAAACTAAACCAAATTGCAACCCTAACCCTATTCCTTTGAAGAACATGAAATAAAGCCCAGAACATTTGTTGCAGGAGAAAATGTCAGATCAATACAATTCAAAATTTGTTCTCTAATTTATAGCAAGTATTTTCCTTTCTATGTCTCATCTTTATTTCAAATACCGGTATTTTTTCATTTTTCAGTTGTGCAGTCATTTGGATCTTTGAGCATCCAAGTACTATTTTGAGAATATCAACCTTGAAATCTAGACAAAGTTATGGTAAATCAGACAAAATATAACCGGAGAAGAAACAACTTTCCATACACATGCATATAAAAGAAAACAGGAAATCACCTTAATTATTGGGTTCACATTTACGATGTATCAATGTTTAAAATTTAGTCCTGAATTAAAATCAAAGCCCTTGAATATAACTTCTGATCCATTAACATACATGTATTGCTCTGTGGAGACACTTTGCATGCATTAATCGTACAGATGTTCAACAAGTGGTCACATGACCACCTTGCTTTAATGACACGTCAGTCTTCACTGTGAAATGTAAATATCAGAAGTGAAGTACCATCCACAGGCACATTCATCATACATGTATATCTACCCATCTGGGTTAAACAGAGGAATGAGTTCTGGTACAGTTGAGAAGAAAACAAATGTGACCTTTCTCAAAAATGCCACTTTAGAAGAACACCATAGTAGAAAAACAAGAAATGTCTGATGAAAAGGTTTGCTCTTCAAATGCCAACATATTCGAAATTTGACGAGAAATTGCAGAAAAACTTTGGACCAAACACTCATGAAACATATGTGGGAACAATTTTTATTATCATTATTATTATAAATGTCTAATTTCTGTGTTGAATAGGGACATGTGCTCATTGCGCCGTACCGGTTCTCTAGAATTAGATGGATGTACATAATGTAACCTAATCTGCCATATTGACATTACAGGGCATTCATCGTAACAGCTGTCCTACTTCTCAGACTCACCCACTGAAATCTGTGCAATCATACAATGTAGGTACCCACTTCTTGGTAAATAACTAATTTGATGAAGGAAATTACCAACTTATGATAGTGATTTGAGAACTTGGAGCAGAACAATCATCAAAACATATGTTGTCTGTAGGGGTTCCTCAACATTTCTGGAAGTATGGTAGACAAATATGGTTTCTTTGAAAATATACTGGTACATTCTGATGCATTCACATACGGTAGCTGAGTCTTGTTAAAAAAATTCACATTTCAAATTTTGTAGTTAGTACATGCACATGTCTATAAAAGGGGAAATAAGATTCCAGATTACTTTCAATACAATATGGTATATAATATACAAGTCCAAAGAGAAACTCAGATCTGTGAAGTTTGAGAAAAATCTGATCAAGGATAACAAAGTTATGAACTTCTAAAGATGTAATCAATACAGATTGGCAACTCTATGATTAGCAATATAACGCCCGGCTGGGATGCTCCCCAGGGAGTGGAGATTGTGCACACAGTGTGTGCGGGCAAGCACTGAATCCAATGACCGGGGTAATAGTATATTTGTAAAGCGCTTAGAGACATTTTTATTAAGCGCTATATAAAAATTAAATATTATTATTATCTGCTTTCCATTATTAGTTGTTTATTATTGATCAACCATCTCTCATATCAGAGACCTAGCTTACATTTAGCAACACCACATTTGTGTTAAAAACAAAACAATTGTAAATGTAGTTGGTAAAAAAAGGGTACTTTGGCCTTTTTTTTTGGCATTGTAAATAGTCAGCTTTCACTTGAGCTGAGGAAATCCCTTGACAGCAAGTATAAACAAAGGAATGCAGTATTCTTAAATACTGGGATATTCTCTAGGCTCACAATTTGGAGCAAATTCTGCTTTCATACGCCATTGTAAAGCCCTTGGATAAAGGCTTTGAACAGATGTACAGATTCCGCCTCAAAACAACCTGCTCCTCCAGAGTCCTTTGCATAGGGAATAATGAGGGGTGCATGTTGTCTTCTCAGCCTCAAACATAGCCTGCAAGCAGCTACACTGTAGGACAGTACAGTGGCCAACCTACTTAGTTCCCTATGGACACAGACAGAAGCCGCTTGCTTGATTGGCTTTGCCAGAGGGCAGAGACTTGATCATTTGTCACTGAGCAAATTAGCAAACAAAACTAAAAAGAGTCTCTGATAAAGGAAATGATACCCATCTACCTCAAATCTGGGTCTCAGGCTTACATGTACATGCTCAATTAAAGTTGAGTTTGATAGTTGATACAGACTAGAGCTACTACTAAATTTAATTAGCTTCCCCTCAGAGTCTGACAGAATTTTCAATTGAGTCTACAAGTCATTGATGTCTTTCAAAATTAAATGCAGTAGTTGACTCTTTACCATACATTGTAATGGCAATATTTCCTGATATCAGAGTCTTTGTAACACAGAAATTATTTAGACATATATAGGAAACCATCATTTGCTTCGTACAGAATGGCCAAAGTGCTCATGTCTGTGTAGTGCGTAGCACCCTTCTCTGCGCAAACGCTTATCTGTGCAATTCGAACAAAACAAAACATGCAGTGAACTCAAAATCTTCCTATCTATTTTAGCTATGCGTGTTTGTGCAACACAAATCAAAAACAAACAAGCAAACAACTAAAAATTGATGAGAAGAGACTTACTTACATGTAAGTAATTTTTATTCTCAAGCCTTGAAATACCATCTTTCAAGCAAAAAATTCTGAACTACATGTACTGTAAAGTGAATGAGTGCGCAGACATGAGAATCTTTATTTTTGCAATGTCTATGACACCACCGCCTTTTCTTCTTCTTCTTTTTCAATGGTCTACAGGCCATGTGTATTTTCTTGTGAAAATGACACTGTCCTTACTCAAATTTTGATGAGATTTTCGGCCCACTTACTATGAGATCAAGCATTGGATGGTCCCTGTCAATTTGAAGGGATAGGTGAGGAAGCACGATAGCTCAGTCGGTACAGCAGTGGTCTCGTAATCCGGTGACCCGGTAAGGCATTAATCCTCATTACCAGGCCCCTCGGAGAAGACCTAGCTAAAGCCGTCGGCCGTCTGGTTGCTTACTATTTATGCTTTCTTAGCAGCCACGTAAAATTACAACCACCAAGGTGCACAGACACAGCCTGGGATCCCCTGGGCTCCCCATCCAATAATAATATCCATTTACTTTTTTAGCACTTCATCACGATCAAGTCACACACACCACCTTCACCTTCACCTTGGTCTCCTTTTTCCCATCCAAAAAGGCCACGCCGAAGGCTCTACAAAGTACAAACATGATCATATGATGTGCATGAAAAAAAACGAGTGGTCCCCAAAATCACGATAAAGATCTATTTTCTAAATAACCTATCCAACAAAATGGTGAAAACATAGTCAGTGTACAGCAATATTATAGGCTTTGTGGGGAATCGGATGTAGTGCTAGTGGCCAGTGCACACACGAAAAAAACCGGCGAAAATCACACGCTTAAAAAATTGACTTTTTACGTTCAACTCAGTTACAGAACAGCGAATGCAGCCTCTCAAAACAGACACGTAAATCACGATATCACAAACATTCATCACATAAATCAATTCGGTTTATTAATCAAGACATTATTAACAAGTTTCTATCCGTGTATTTGATTTCAAAGAATCAAGGAAAATGAGAAATTTAAGGTAATAAAATTACTTACGACAATCTGTTAGCAAATCTCGACTGCTACGTGTCTTTAGCTAATGCATTGAGCTTACGTACGGCCTGGCCTTACGCACGGAACATTTCTGAAAATTAGCCTCAACACTAAAATGTATTACAGTTTTTTCTATAATATTTTTTTGCACTACCCCCTTTAAGTGACTTTTGATCAATATTAATGTATAAAATACAGTATAAAACTATTTTCATGGTTCACCCGTAATCTTATTATCATTTTTACATTGTTTATTATCGAAAAAATAGTTTCAAAGAAGAAAAATAAATAACTCTTGACTTTAAAAAGTTAAGCACTTTGCACGTGCGTTACGCGTACGTAGTCATTTCGAGTTGGCTAGCTTGCTTCGCTGGAGCTGGGCGTATGTTCATGCGAGTGAACTCAACTGCTGTATTATCATCGAAGAATCATCTACTTTTTGCCCGTGTGCAGCCCGATACATATCTGTCAAATATAGGCTCAGCCGCAGAAACTTACTCGGATGAATTGTGAACAAAGATGACAATATGATACTGAGCCTGAGAGCAACTCGAGTTTTATTACGCAACCTTAATTTATCAGCATATGGAAAACGTACTACGAGTTCATACCCAACTTTAGGAGGAAATGAATTGTTGTTTCTGGAAACAGACATCAAATCTCAGACTCGACAAGTGTTGAAATCACACTGGTCATCATCATCAACAAGGCCAAGGAAAAGATCCACTTTATCATTTACAACATCAAAATGTAGCCAAAGAACTTTTCTCTCAGTAAGTACGTGCAGGGACTACTGAGTAATTTTAGAGGCTCGCTTGTTTCACTATCGAACATTTCTTTTTTAAAGATACCCAGAAGCTATAGTCTAGTGTCCGGACAGGTTGAAGTTTACAAAAAATACAAGCGATATTCATCAATCTTGTGTTGGATAATAATATAATGGACAAATCTTCTTGATGGTTTAATAGTGCCAGATGATTAACATTTTTTGTTAAATCCTTAGCCTCTTATGCAAAAGAGAAATGTTATTTTGTTTACAGTTGGCTTAACTCTTAGTGTCTGGACCCCCATCACCCCCCCCCCTTTTTGGGGCTATATATATAAAAAGCCTCAAATTTTTTGTCTGTTCACTTATTTTTATTCCTCAGAGTAGTACACAGGGTCAAGGGTCATCTGACGTTACAGAGGATGAGCGAAGGAAGCGTCTGATGGCACGCAATCTCCCAAAGAGGGAACCTATTCCAGGGGTGAAGAACACGATCCTGGTAGCCTCTGGGAAAGGGGGAGTTGGAAAATCTACAACGGCAGGTAATTTATACATTTTCAAATCGAACAACTAAATTGCAACTTTAACACACCCTTTAAACACCATAAAAGGGATCGATCCAGTAGTCTCTATACCCACATAAAAACGTTGTTTTGTTGATGTTCAATGTGGAAAGGGGAGGGGGGGGGGGTGGAGAAAGAAAAAGGGAGAAAAATGAGAAGTTGAGGGGAAAAACATTAAGCCCCCCCCCCCTCAAAAAAAAAAGGAAAAAAAAGAAAAAAAGAGAGAACAAAATAATCTAGGAGTATCCCTCTCCATACCCTTCCCCCTTCATGTAATTGATCAGTGGCCTAATAAATTTGCATACCAGTAGTACTCTTTTTCTATGTCACACCAAAAATCCTGCCATTCCACTTTGTTTATGGGATAGATATTCCAAAGGCTCCAAGATTTTTGAACATTTTCCAGTTTAAAATTAATGTAACCGGTTGTCACAGAGTTAACAAGACCAGAAATGGGTACTTATGCAAAACCATGGTTGCACAAAGCAACCCTTTTGTCAATTGGCCCCTCTTGTTTTGTGCAAAATTGCATGGTAACCTAGGACTATAGTGCCCCTAGTGCCAGTGTCCCCCCCCCCCCAATCCAGTGACCCCTACCATGCCATTGAATAATAGTCTGTTATTCGCAGAAGTACTCTCATAGTAAATGTAATTTTTTTCATGAATATTTCTTGTTTTTTTCTGTTTATCTAGTCAACGTTGCATTGGGTATAGCTGCTATTGAACAGGTAATTTGAAATATAAGAATTCTAAAGCTCTCAGTCAACTTTTCATTTACAATTTTCCATTTTATCCAAATATCTTTTGACATTATGAGTGGAGCAGATTTTCATTCCTAACATTTGCCTCAATTTTTAGTTGAAAAAAAAAAATGTTGTTTTGATTAGGTTTACACATACATGTACATGTATATTAAAACCATTTATCAGTAGTTTTTTAGGTTTATGATCGAGTACTGTAGTTATATCTCAATCTGATTAGATACCTGTACGGCAATGATTTGGTCTCTCCTAATTAAGCGTTGAGGAATATTAATTACAATATTCTCTCATCGAGCTATCATTTCTTTTGATATTTAGCATTTGAAAATTGTTAAACATATGAATGAATAAATAAATAAAATCATAAATAAATATGAAAGAATTAATAAATGAATATATGAAAATTCTTTCATATTTATCTATGTTTTTTATTAATGTATTCATTCATTCATGTATTTATTTATTACTTTATTTATTTATTCAGTTAGTTATTTCTGTTTAATTTTTCAATTTTGTAATAATTAATTAATTAATTAATTTTTTATTTATTCATTTATTTATTTATTCATTTATTGATTTATTGATTTATTGATTTAATCATTGACTTATGTTTTTTCTTCCTAGAATGCTAATGTTGGAATCCTGGATGCTGATGTCTTTGGACCCTCTATCCCCAGGATGATGAATCTTCAAGGAAAAGAGCCTGATATTGATAAGAGTAAGTTTAATACACTGTCACCCATCCCCATTCCTCCAAGGCAATATAGTGATCCAACTTTAGCGTTTAATTATTTCCACACTATACTAACCTTTGAGCCAGGAGTTTACTCTAGTGTACAACTGCCCCCAAAGCCTAAACCTGATCCAAACTCAAATACCATTCCCAACATGATGAACCTGGAAATACATTGATAATGGTATGTTACAGTGATTACACCCTATTGGTCTATTGCTAAAAGAATTGCAGAGAATAAGATGATGTCTTATTTGGGGGCTAGGAATTTGGCTTTGATATGGTATTCCCAACCTCAACCCTTACCTAAAAGTACCGGTAATCTTTAGCATGACACCAACCCTGTACAATTACAGTGTGTTATTTTGAGATAATTATGGTAGGGCCAGATGAGTGGGGCTTCACTGAAACAGTGAAGAAGAAAAGAGAAAAAAGTATCCCTTGAAATTATCCATCATAGCGAGTCTTAGCGACAGTTTCTCCATAATGCCAATTTCACAGAAGTCGGATGACAGTTAGGACTATACAGTCACCCTTTGAATCAGGAACTAAACAATCGGCATCCTACCTCCATCTTGCGCAACTGATCACCCAAGGAGGCTCTCCTCTTGGAGAATTTTGTAAGAACTTCTTTGTAATACATGTAATTACCGTAGTCATGTTTAATTGAAGATTTTGAGCGTAAATGCATATCATAAATGATTTTAGAAATATTTCTGTAAGGTAAATTGATTTATCAAATTGATTTGCTTTTGCTTATTCTTTACAGATAACCAACTTATACCACTAAGGAATTTCGGTATATCATGGTAAGCTTAAAATTTAGAATAATTTGGGAATTTTCTTCCATTCTAAACCTTTTAAGAGTCTGTGGGATACTGTATGTACATGTAGCTTATGAGTTTCACAAATAAGCAAGACTTGAATTTTGTTTTAATTGGATTTCTATCACAAAATGAAACGTTTGATGCTACACTGTAAATATTCAATTGTAAATGTAAATAGCACGATGTGGTTCTATTGATTAATGTTTGGTGTCACTGAAGAATCAATTAAATTGAACAAAATTAACATTTTCTAGGTGAGTGGAATTTAAATGAATAAGGAGAATGAATATACCAGGAACATTTTTTTAAAACGAAGAAGATAATACTGGATGTTCCTTTGTAACGTTATGTGTTGTGCAATTTGTTTCTTTCCTGGGTACCTAGTTAAAAGGTACTCGATTAACCTGTTATTAGTGAATGAACCACTGTACATGTACTGTATACTTGTCCAGTCTACATACAGTACTGTGTGCTATGTCGGGAAAGCCTCAGAAAAGCTTTCAGATTGTCAAGAACAACCTATGTTTAAAAAGTATGCATAAAATTCGACAATGTTAAATGTTAATAAAACCAGTCTATTGGCAGATTTGGCACAGACATGACCCCTCTGAATCTATGATCCCAGGGAGGTATTTCACAAAGCCTAAGAATAAGATCAACTTTAAGTTTGACTTAACTATGGCAGGTCATTCATGCCATTGGTTGCTCTCACCATTATGATCTTTAGATTATATTTTTTCCTTCAATAAAGAATTATCAAAAAATGTAGATTCTGTAGAATTTTGACCATGATTTGTAGAGACCAATGCCAGTAAATGGTGAGAGCAAACAGTGACATGAACAACCTGCCATAGTTAAGTCCAACTTAAAGTCGATCTTAATTTTGTGTATGCATACATTGCGAGACAAACGAATGTCACTAGCGATGTTATTTCTGATAGATATGCATTGTTTCCTTTTTTTTTTACTACAGCATGTCAATGGGTTTCCTGGTAGATGAGAAATCACCTGTTGTGTGGAGAGGGTTGATGGTGATGTCAGCTATGCAGAGATTGGTCAAGCAGGTAAAGTCAGCCCCAGTCCTAGTCTCACTATTCCTCTTTGAGTTTTCAGGGTGTGATCCGTAATTTGTTAAATGTAGATGAGTAACCTTGTGCATGCCATTTTCAGAGAAAACTTGAAATAATTTCCTTTCAATTGTGTATGGGACTCACTGTCTCTGTGATAGATATATTTATAATGAATGAATTATGATTATAGAGAATGATTTTGTTTGGTTGTTTTGTGTAAAATTAAAGAATTAGAATTGTGATGTTGCAAGACTGGTGGTTAACTGTTTATCATGTATACAGGTTATTTCATTGTATGTGATTATTTTGAAAGGTTTTGTTTTCCTTCAATCTTTCTCCCCATCCTCCCCCCTCTCCTATCTCTCTCTCTCTCTCTCTCTCTCTCTCTCTACAGGTAGCATGGGCACCTCTTGATTATCTTGTAATTGACATGCCGCCTGGGACGGGGGACACCCAACTCTCCATATCTCAGCTCATAACTATAGCAGGTAAGTACATTCCTCTGAATGTAATAGAATGGTCAATTTGAGCAAGGTAATCTTCATTTACTCTCTAGTGATCGTTATATTTTGATTACTTACCAATGTATGGAAGAGAATTTTTTTTTCTTCTGACAAAATTTATAGTAGCTAGTATCAAGTACATATTGTTGTGTAGGGATCAGTAATTGTTGGAGGCGAGGAGCATAAAGAAAGACGCTGTACTATTTCTTGTTATAATTCATGAGAACTTTTAATCATCATAGATACTTGTCGTAATTATCACATTCACAAATACAAGTCTCTGTATAATCCTTGTTCAGCGGTTGACGGCTGAAACCCAAGTCCCTATCATTCTCCAACTTTACATTCAGGAAAGTTTGGGGAGAAAACCAATGTTGGGAGGGGTGACTTATTCATGCTTATCATTGGTCAATGGTCAGGGTTGTCATGGTATTATGGGGAGTGGCTATGGAGAGTGTAAGTGACTGGGGTTTGGGCCTAGTATGAGTCATAGTTATTGGAATGTGGTTCGTTCCTGGAATCTAAATCTTGGGTGGTTATTAGTGGTCAATTGTTTATAATAAAAAGTAATGGGATAGTGGGTTCTGTTTTATCATGGAGCAGGTGGGAGAAAGGTGAATGAAAGGTGAATGACTGAAGGGAGGGGGGAATAATACAAGTACTACATAACATCCCCTTTCTTTGGGAAATGAGACTCCCTTCCCGTCTTTTTAAAATTATTGGCATAGGATAAAGATTACATAATTGTTAAGGGAAGTGAAACCAACAGAGTGTATTCAATTTACTGTCCACTGACTCTTACACACACTCTCTCTCACTCTCTCATACAAATTTTCTTCAATAACATGGTAAGGGCTATTCTAATTCTATCTAAACATACTGTAACAGAATCATTAACATGAAGTATAATAAATGAAACAAATAGTTCATTAACTTGTGCAGACTTATGCACGTTAACACATTCTATCTATCGCAACAAAATTAGTTAATCCTAATCAGCAAGAGCGATTAAGTATGGAATCATTAACAAATTCCTAAGATCAAGAATACAAACAATACTGTTAATAAAGTCAATTCTATTTGTGTATCCAACTACATGTATACCACCAACTATTGTATGCAATAACAGCAATAACAAATAAATTATATACATGCTATAAATTCTAGCATTTGATCAACATGAGAAATAAAAGGAAAATTAACAGGAGCGCTCTAGAAATGACAGTTTCCTATGTTTTGAAAGGCCTTCCTGCACTTCAAATGAAGCATCAACATAGACTTTAACGTAACTATCAATCCTATCCTGTTGAAGAAATATTCCAATGTTCATGTTAAATTTAAGAACAAAATAAACAAGTACTTTCAAACTTGTTAAAATCATCAATTGACAAGTGTAGATTTAAACTCATCCAGTTCACTAACCTTGCGATGATACATATAATCGTTCAAAAAAATTTAAGATATATAAACAAACTATGAGTAAAACATATTGTCAAAACTTATGTGTGATTCAATACTGAACCCATCCTTACACAGTGCAGTCTTATGCACATGAAAACAACTGTAAAATAAAATATTGTGCAGACTTAATATGCACATGAACATAAACAAAAAGAAAAAAAGAATTATATAATATGAGTTCAGTCAAACAAGAAATCGTCGTCACAGTATGAACACTGGTATATCCATATTTGAACAGCTATAATAGAACATGAATATAAATGCGATTCCTGGAATCTAAATCTTGGGTGGTTATTAGTGGTCAATTGTTTGTAATAAAAAGTAATGGGATAGTGGGTTCTGTTTTATCATGGAGCAGGTGGGAGAAAGGTGAATGAAAGGTGAATGACTGAAGGGAGGGGGGAATAATACAAGTACTACATAACAATATAGTCTGCTGCCCTGCAATGGTGTTCCTCCTATCGACAATACATTGCTTTTGCTGTTCTGAAACATTGATGTCGATGCCAAACAAAGGCATTCATACCTGCGTGCATGTTGATTACAAGCAATCTTCATATTCTTTCAACAAGGAAATGCAATGAGGTTTGATGTTAGAAGCTGATTTATTATGAAAGTTACAATTAGTATCATATTCAAATGTTCAGACAAGCAAATGGAAATATTACAATTTCCCCATTTCCATTTTTTCCATTCTAGGTGCAGTCATTGTTTCTACACCTCAAGATATTGCCTTGCTAGATGCAAGGAAAGGAGCTGAGATGTTCAATAAAGTAGATGTGCCTGTAAGTATTTCCAGTGAATCTTTTCTTATTCCTACATGTAGGCTCGCTACAATTCAAGTAAGCGACCTGCCTGGAAAAAAATATGCGGCATAAAATTGTTTAGAAGCAGTGCAAAATGTTCATTTTAGTTGTTGTACTCCACCTTCTCTGATTATAAATGAGCATAAAATGGTTTATGAAATTGCATATTATCTATTAATTTCCTCAATTAAATGTAGTATGATTTTAATATATTTATTCAAGTTAAAATCCTTTTAAGAATTCAGAGCAATTATATACTGAATACATAAAGAAACAATTAAGTTTTGTGCTATTATGTATACAATTGTGAACTATTATGTATAAAGTTGTTTTGAACTAACTTGTAAGTAAATTGTTTTATAATTATAAGATTTCATATCTTGGCTCACATTCTAGAACAATATCACTTTTAGTTTGAGATTCTCATTACGGTACATTTACCCTTCTTTTGTTTTCTCATTCAGGTCCTTGGAATTGTTCAAAACATGAGTGTATACCAGTGTCCAAAGTGCGGTCATGAAGCTCATATATTTGGACAAGATGGCGTCCATGGTGTTGCCAAGGAGATGGGACTTGATGTACTTGGTAAGTATGACCAAATCAGATAAAATGCCACTTGCACCACAGTGTAACATTATTGGATTGTTATCATTATAAATATCGAAAGAGAATATGTAAATTGGAGGTGTGCTTAAGAGTGATCATCCGTTTCTGTAATGCAAAGATAAGACTGTTTGCTAAGATGTTGATTGAATTAAGGCTGTAGCAGTAAATTCTGATGTTAATCATTCCAATTCTATGTCGTTCTTGTGCCTATTATACGGGTCAATGTCGCTATTCATAAGGACCGCTATTCATAAGGTCCGCTATTCATAAGGTCCATTATTCATAAGGACCGCTATTCATAAGGTCCGCTTTTCATAATTGGAGAAAAGGGTCATTATTCATAAGGGTCATTATTCATAAGGACCGCTATTCATAATCAAAGAAGAGGGTCGGTATTCATAATATTAGAAGAGGGTCGCTGTTCATAATAGGAAAATGGGGTTGTTATTCATAAGGGTCCCTATTCATAATATTACAAAAGGGTCGGTATTCATAACACAGAAAGAGGGTCGCTATTCATAATACGAAATGAGGGTCGCTATTCATAATACAAAATGAGGGTCGCTATTCATAATGCAAAATGAGGGTCGTTATTCATAAGGGTTATTATTCATAAGGGTCATTATTCATAATAAGAAATGAGGGTCGCTATTCATAAAAGGAGAAGAGGGTCGCTATTCATAATAGAAGAAGAGGGTCGCTATTCATAATAGGAGACGAGGGTCGCTATTCATAATAAGAAATGAGGGTCGCTATTCATAATAGAAGAAGGGGGTCGCTATTCATAATAGAAGAAGAGGGTCGCTATTCATAATAGGAGTAAATTTTCCTCCTTGTTGGAAATCTTGCCCCATCACCCTACCTCCGACTGATCTTATCCAGGCTACGCCACTGAGATATTAAGTACGCCAAGCAGGCCCATTATCCATTTTAGCTTGCTATTTAAGAAACTAGTAATTGTTTATACGACAATAATGTTTTTGTAGAAAGTAATTTTTATTAGGACTTATGGACCTACAAATTACTGAGCGGAATTGGACCTGACAATTGGACCTAAGCCCAGTATCTACCGATCCCCCGAGCCCCCCCCCCCCCATCAGTACGCTCCGGCGCGGATCCAGAATTTTCCAATTGGGGGGGGGGGGGGGAACGGAAATTTGAAAAATGCGCAGACCGTTTTTTCAACTCAACATACCAATACTGACAAGGTCATATTAGCAGCACGATACGGGTACCTAGAAGCAGGAACAATTTTGGAAAGGGGTGCAAGCTCACCTTACGTCTCTTGTCCGATATCAACATTCCCCGTTTTTAAGATATATATTTTTTTGACATTTTCATCTGGGGGGGGGGGGGGCTAAAGCCTCTTGCCCGATTATTTTCTAGTTCACAATTCTGCTTGTGAGCGAAACGAGCGAGCAAAAATTTGAGCATTATATGTTTTTTGTGAAAGTGTTATTTATCACCAAGATAAACGAGAAAAGATATCAAAAATTCATATTCGGGCAGCTTGCTGTCCTCCCCCCCCCCTCCCCTCCCCCACCCATTACGCGCGAAAGCTTTGAACTTTCATTAATTATTAGAAAAAGAAGACGATTTATTGTACCATTCTCGACTCTTAATCCTTGTCTGAATTCAGTTTTCCCCCTCGCTTTTACCTTTCATTAATTATTAGAGAAAAATTACGGTTTGTTGTACCGTTCTCGACTCTTAATAATTATTGTCTGAATTCTATTCTCCCCCTCTTGCGCAAAGCGCGTAAGCTTTGACCTTTCATTGTTTAATGCAATTATTAGAGAAAGAAGATGATTCGTTGTTCCATTCTCGACTCTTAATCCTTGTCTGAATTCAGTTTCCCCCCTCCCGCGCAAAACGTGGAAGCTTTGATGTTTCATTAAATTATTAGAGAAAGAAGAGGATTTGAAGAGAAATGAATATATGATATGAATAGCGACCCCTTACTCCTATTATGAATAGCGACCCTCATTTCATATTATGAATAGCGACCCTCTTCTCCTATTATGAATAGCGACCCTCTTCTCCTATTATGTATAGCGACCATCTACTCCTATTATGAATAGCGACCCTCTTTTCCTATTATGAATAGCGACCCTCTTCTTCTATTATGAATAGCGACCCTCTTCTCCTATTATGAATAGCGACCCTCTTTTCCTATTATGAATAGCGACCCTCTTCTCCTATTATGAATAGCGGCCCTCTTCTCCTATTATGAATAGTGACCCTCTTCTCCTATTATGAATAGCGACCCTCTTCTTCTATTATGATTAGCGACCCTCATTTCCTATTATGAATAGCAACCCTCTTCTCCTATTATGAATAGCGACCCTCTTCTCCTATTATGAATAGCGAACCTCATTTCGTATTATGAATAGCGACCCTCTTCTCCTATTATGAATAGCGGCCCTCTTCTCCTATTATGAATAGCGACCCTCTTCTCCTATTATGAATAGCGACCCTCTTTTCCTATTATGAATAGCGACCCTCTTCTCCTATTATGAATAGCGGCCCTCTTCTCCTATTATGAATAGCGACCCTCTTCTCCTATTATGAATAGCGACCCTCTTCTTCTATTATGATTAGCGACCCTCATTTCCTATTATGAATAGCAACCCTCTTCTCCTATTATGAATAGCGACATTCTTCTCCTATTATGAATAGCGAACCTCATTTCGTATTATGAATAGCGACCCTCTTCTCCTATTATGTATAGCGACCATCTACTCCTATTATGAATAGCGACCCTCTTCTCCTATTATGAATAGCGAACCTCATTTCGTATTATGAATAGCGACCCTCTTCTCCTATTATGAATAGCGACCCTCTTCTCCTATTATGAATAGCGGCCCTCTTCTCCTATTATGAATAGCGACCCTCTTCTCCTATTATGAATAGCGACCCTCATTTCCTATTATGAATAGCGACCCTCTTCTCCTATTATGAATAGCGACCCTCTTCTCCTATTATGAATAGCGAACCTCATTTCGTATTATGAATAGCGACCCTCTTCTCCTATTATGAATAGCGACCCTCTTCTCCTTTTATGAATAGCGACCCTCTTCTCCTATTATGAATAGCAACCCTCTTCTCCTATTATGAATAGCGACCCTCATTTCCTATTATGAATAGCGACCCTCTTCTCCTATTATGAATAGCGACCCTCTTCTCCTATTATGAATAGCGACCCTCTTCTCCTAATATGAATAGCGACCCTCATTTCCTATTATGAATAGCGACCCTCTTCTCCTATTATGAATAGCGACCCTCATTTCCTATTATGAATAGTGACCCTCTTCTCCTATTATGAATAGCGACCCTCTTCTCCTATTATGAATAGCGACCCTCTTCTCCTATTATGAATAGCAACCCTCTTCTCCTATTATGAATAGCGACCCTCTTCTCCTATTATGAATAGCGAACCTCATTTCGTATTATGAATAGCGACCCTCTTCTCCTATTATGAATAGCGGCCCTCTTCTCCTATTATGAATAGCGACCCTCTTCTCCTATTATAAATAGCGACCCTCTTTTCCTATTATGAATAGCGACCCTCTTCTCCTATTATGAATAGCGGCCCTCTTCTCCTATTATGAATAGCGACCCTCTTCTCCTATTATGAATAGCGACCCTCTTCTTCTATTATGATTAGCGACCCTCATTTCCTATTATGAATAGCAACCCTCTTCTCCTATTATGAATAGCGACCCTCTTCTCCTATTATGAATAGCGAACCTCATTTCGTATTATGAATAGCGACCCTCTTCTCCTATTATGTATAGCGACCATCTACTCCTATTATGAATAGCGACCCTCTTCTCCTATTATGAATAGCGAACCTCATTTCGTATTATGAATAGCGACCCTCTTCTCCTATTATGAATAGCGACCCTCTTCTCCTATTATGAATAGCGGCCCTCTTCTCCTATTATGAATAGCGACCCTCTTCTCCTATTATGAATAGAGACCCTCATTTCCTATTATGAATAGCGACCCTCTTCTCCTATTATGAATAGCGACCCTCTTCTCCTATTATGAATAGCGAACCTCATTTCGTATTATGAATAGCGACCCTCTTCTCCTATTATGAATAGCGACCCTCTTCTCCTTTTATGAATAGCGACCCTCTTCTCCTATTATGAATAGCAACCCTCTTCTCCTATTATGAATAGCGACCCTCATTTCCTATTATGAATAGCGACCCTCTTCTCCTATTATGAATAGCGACCCTCTTCTCCTATTATGAATAGCGACCCTCTTCTCCTAATATGAATAGCGACCCTCATTTCCTATTATGAATAGCGACCCTCTTCTCCTATTATGAATAGCGACCCTCATTTCCTATTATGAATAGTGACCCTCTTCTCCTATTATGAATAGCGACCCTCTTCTCCTATTATGAATAGCGACCCTCTTCTCCTATTATGAATAGCGACCCTCATTTCCTATTATGAATAGCGACCCTCTTCCCGTGTTATGAATAGCGACCCTTATAAGTAATGAACTTTATTTCGTATTATGAATAGCGACCCTCTCGTCGTATTATGAATAGCGACCCTGATTTCATATTATGAATAGCGGTCCTTATGATTAATGACCCTTAATATGAATTATGAATAGCGACCCTCATCTCACGTTATGAATAGCGGTCCTTATGATTAACGAACCTTATTTCATTATGAATAGTGACCCTCTTTTGCCATTATGAATAGCGGACCCGGAAGTACGGGAATTTACACGTTATGAATAGCGGTCCTTATGAATAGCGGACCTTATGAATAGCGGTCCTTATGAATAGCGAATAGACCCCTATTATACCAGGCATGTCAATTCAGAGAGGGGTGTAATAACCCTACCCCCCCCCCCCACAAAATGCTTTAAGTGTCATGTCACTTGGCAAATCATTTGTGTGTTTTTTCTTTGTTCTTTTTATTTGAAAAGGAAAATTAAAGTCGTAAAAAGTATTACAAGTAATTAAATATATTTTTATCTCTGTATTATATTCCAGAAGTCACATGCAGTAGTACGTTAATTTTTGTTGTTCTTTGTTATTGTAATCTTGACTTTTCTCTCAAATATCTCTGTTACACTATAATTTTCAAATTTGTTATCCAATGTTATGAATAATATTGAGAATTATCCAATTGTGGATGTATTTTAGTGGCAAATTAGAAATGTACATGTAAATTCAGAAAGTCATTCATCATTTTGTGGATTTCTTTTTTTTTTTCTTTTTCAGGTGATGTGCCCCTCCACATAGACATCAGAGAGACCTCGGACAGAGGGAAACCTATCGTGGTATCATCACCTCAAAGCCCACAGGCTCTTGCCTACAAATCCATTGCAAAGGAAGTACTCAGCAGAATAAAAACAGAAGACTTAGATAGATGACATTATCAACGGAGATAGTGATTTGGCAAAGTTACAGGAACTTGTGGAATGTGATTTTGCAAAGTTATGGGATTTTTTTTGCGTGGTAGGAAAGAAAGGTCATGTGATGTCATTTGACCAATTAGACTGCCTATATTCTTGAACCAGGCCACATGGGTTTGCTATGAGACAATCTGTTGTAGCACAAACAATGGGGCAAAAGAAAGATTTTGGCAGTTAAAGGGGCTCATTTTACGAGAAAGTAGAGAGCGATATGGGGCGATTGTTGTCTATTGATTGGCATTAATGGCATTAGTAGACAGAGCAAGAATTTCTCCATAGTTTGTACCTATTTCTTGTGCAGATCTAAATGAATTTCATTACAATATAGCCCAATTTGTTATAAATGATGTCCATTTACTTGCGGAATGTGAATTCATATTAATGTATGCAAGGGTCAGTTCAAATTTTGATGCAATCATGAATATGAAAAAGTGTTATTTGATGCTAAGTCTTGCAAAACAGCAATAAAACATCATTATTCATATATAATTTGTCTGTATTCTTTTTGTCAGCTGTGAATGGGTGATATACTTTAAAAAGAAGTATAAATTAATGATTATCTATACATTATCAACTAGATAGATATGCAAAGAACACCAAACACATTATTCTGTAGACTTTTGATATTTATTACTTTCATAAGCATATAAGCATACATAATCACAATACTACACTTCATTAGAAACTGGTTGTACATGTACTGCATGTACCACTTCTAGGGAATAAGATGAAATTGGCGAAATAAAAACGAGATTATTATATCATACATGTACGTGTATGGAGGGTAGGACATATACCCGTTCATGGAATGCTGTAATTGTACTTCATAGTGTTCTTTAACAAATATGTAAATATACATGCATATCAACAAATCTATCAACACAACAATAATGCTTGTCATTATCTATGGGCATGGCTATATCATTATTTTAGACTGAAATCAATATGCAAAAAGGCTTGTTCACAACTGATGCAGTTGCGTACCGCCAGAGTAATGGCGCTTCATATTAATACTGTCTTATACCATGGACCTACTACAAAGGTCCATGCTTATACACACAAATAAGCGAGAACGGAGTACTTGTAGAACCTTTTTTTGCATGCAGCTTCTTTATACATGTATTTTATCCACACTTTCCATTCATTTGGATGAAGAAAATAAAACTTGCTGTGGTGACAACTGAAAACTTTGGGCACATGTATACCTTGTCGTAGCTGATTTACTGATATACGTTCATTGTTACAGAGCTGCCAACCTTGTGCGACCAAAAAAAGGAATCATGATGGCAAAAAAAAAAGGAATTTCAAGCAAAAAAAAGGAATTCATGAAAACGAAACTTCCTCCATGCGCGACACACTTCCAATGCAGAAATGTTTATTCATCATGCTGTATTTTCCATACAAGCAGGTAATTTTTTTGGTGGTTATTTTGGTATTATCGGCATTTCATTTTTTTTGAGAATATTTTTCTCTTCAAGTATGTTTTAAAATTAGTTTTCTATTGAATTTGTGATCAAATCACCATTTTAGGGCAGTTGTTTGACGTGCGGTATGTTAAAAAAAAAAAAAAAAAAAAAAAATAAAATTAAAAACGTATTTTATGAAGAAAAAATGTAATACCGTAATTTGGAGGAAAAAACGGAGTAATTCCAGCAAAAACGGAATGGTTGGCAGCTCTGTTGTTATCATAGGTGGTTTTACACTAAATCCATATCACAAACATGATTGAATAGTGAAGACTAATAGTAAATGGAAATGTAATCAAAAATAGATTTCAAATTGAAATAGATATGGTTTGAATTCTGCTTGAAAAGTAAAATTTTCTAAACATGAAAACATAATTAGCCGCATTGTGAGCGAAATCGCTCGTTAACCTTTGTATGTCTATGGTTTGGACATGAAATCAATTGCTCCTTTACTAAGGGCTCTGATCAACAACAAATTTTGACATAGGCAGTACTCTGTATCCCATCATTTGTTTTCTTAGGAGTGTCGTGGTCGAGTGGTTTAAGGCGCTTGACTTGGAGATGCGAAGGTCGAGGGTTCGACTCCCGACACGGCACTAATATCCTTTGGCAAGATATTAACCTGCACTTGCTACTCTCCACCCAGGTGTTAAATGGGTACCCGGTAGGATGCGACCGTCATTGTTGGTCAAACAGTTTTTGAGCGTCATGTAACGCCTGGCTAGAATGCTCCCCAGGGAGTGGAGATTGTGCACACATTGTGTGCGGGTAAGCACTGAATCCAATGACCGGGGTAATAATATCTTTGTAAAGCGCTTAGAGACATTTGTATTAAGCGCTATATAAATTAAATTTATTATTATTATTATTATTATTATTCTTTCAAAAATTGCGGTTAAACATTTGAACATGTACATGGAAAATGCGCTGTATAAATACATTATTATAAAACCAGAAACTTTTGCATGCAAGAACACAGATTCACAAATGGTCCAGACCTGGCAAAGTTTCATGCTGCAAAATTAACGAATCATGACAATAAAATGTTGCAAAGTGAGAGAATTTCTTGCCACCAGAACAGTTTGCTGTTAGCAACTGCAGGAATTTCTGGCTTTACAGTGAATGGTCTAATACAGGGGCATAGTTTCAGTGCAGTAATAATTAACCTCTGAAAATCTATAAATTTAGTCCTTTGATCCGCTTAGTGTGTCCATTCACTATAATGGCTCCTCTCTCAAACTTAGAACTTGGGACTTGCATGCATGTCCATACATACATTTACCTATTCCATAAAACTATCTAATATATATCCATTTATTTCTATACCTACATATAAACATATCAGTGCAGAGAAACTTCTCTGTCACTTTTTTAAAAATTACTAATATATAGCAGTATGCCGTACGTCAAACATAAAAGTAGCACATTTAACTTCCATCAAATAAAATCTAGTACATATGCAGACAACACAGAGTTGCACAAATAAGTACTTTTTCTATAACCTTTAAATAACTATACAAAGTGAGACATTTGATATATTGTATTATACATTCATTCATGGTAAACATATATATTTCTATCATGTCCTGACTTGGAATTTTCCAGCTCTTGTTAGATACTTCACTCCCTTGAAGGGCTTGTATTTCTAGGAAAAGAGAAAACAAAAAAAAAGATAACAAAGAATGGATTAAGGAATATGGAAACAGACATACAATAAATAAATTGGCAACATTATCTTTTTTCCTTACCATTTAATCTCTTTTAATTCTCTTTTAAATTAAAAACTTACTCTTTCTCATTTTTATCCTCTTTATTCTATTTTCCCTCTTTCTATAATAAATGCTTGAAAAATTATTTTTATATTTAAATACAGCTATTTCTCTCTCAATAATAATCACTGTTCTAGCATCATATTTTCAAGACAATGCATCCAAAAGTGAAGGAAAAAGTATCTCTTTGAAACCAACTGCAAACATATTGTGATATGCGCTATGTAAGTACGGCATATTATTGTTATTATTATTATCAAATATGTCTTACAGAAAACAGCAAATAAGAAGTACGAGTTCCTTCAAGTATGCTTTGAAATCTGTTCTTATCTCTCCAGTAAACCAAGTGAGAAATTATCAATCTTCTAGGATACAAACTCCTAACAACAGCAAAAATGTCTAGACAAAGGGACTCTTGTTATTTTGAAATGCACAGACAGATTTCCCCTCACAGTAGAGTCGTGGAGAATGGGATTAAAAAAAAAACACCTCAGGATACGCTCTCATTACTAATTCATCCCCCACCTACCACCCCTGCCCCCTCCCCAAGAAAAAGGATAAAATGTCTAAACTATTTACCTCTCCATACATGTCCAATCTGTTGACCTTAAGGCCTGATATTGCCAGCTGGTTGATAGAAAATTGCACCTGATAGAGATAAAAATGAAACAATATGTTTACTGATGGATTTTCATGGTTGCAACTTTCATAATCTAGACATGGCTTTCCTACCAGAATTAAGGAAGATCACATGTATATTACACTTTCCTACTTTAGAATAATAATTGACATTAAGAACAAGCCTCCTTGCAGGCAGTCAATATCAATGCAAGACAAATTTTAATTAGCTTTCATTGTAATTTTAAATGGGCACAAGGTATAAGTAATATTCTTATGATACCCATCTACAAAGAAAGTTTTTCAAAGAGAGACTGAATCACTGTATGTTATTGAACATTATTACTGAGGAGCAGTCTTTTGGCCAGAATCTGCGAGCTACAACACAGATAGATATGATATTTATCAGAATAAAAGTACTTACGGATAGGGTGGGGTTAGCTTCAGGAGGAGGGACACCAGATTGGAGTGACATCTGGAAGAAGAAAAAAAATGAATATAAAATCGAGCCAAATATATGTGATGAGCATTCAATGGGTCTAGAGCACCAAATTCCATCTATAAGACTTGGAAATCAGTATAAAGATAGTGGGTTCTTATACAGCGCTGATGTCTGTCAGACTTGCCACTCCTAATGCTCCACAATATATGAGATATATATCATCAGATTATCAATTCATGGTTCAAGCCTTAAGGCTTGCTTAGATATGAAGCGATAAAACGTGACAGTATTTTTGTAACATGAACATGAATGGCAACTGCACACAACAAAGTTCCTACTCGTATTCACTGAGCTCTGTGTTATAGGATACAGAAACGTGAATCGTTACATCGTTATAAATAAACTGCCTTGGTTTACCACCTCATACCTGAATGAAGGTTTGCAGAAAATGAAACCGATAAATGTTCCTGTTTTAAATTGTTCAATCAATGCATATTTTGAATAAAAAACAAACAATTACGGCCCTAACACTTTTACGTGAATCTTTGACAATATTTTTATGTTACTGCTATTAAAGTGTCACTGCACAGATCTTCGACAACCATAAAAATAACTTACACTGCCTTTTATGCTGGGTAGCTTCTGTGGGTTGATCTTGCCGACCTCCCACGACATGATCTTACTAACAGGGTCAAAGCTGTAGCTGCCCTGGGTTGGGGTCAGGGTCATGTTCAGCACTTGCTTGGGAAGGTCGCAGGTGATAACTACATTCTCCACCTGGCAACAACAACAAAATGGATGAATAATTAAAACACATTTTTAAAACTAACGACACAAAACCTTCACAATCTCTTTAAAAAAAAGAAAAATTTGATTTAAAATTTGGAATATTCATATTTAGTGATGCGTTATATTACATTTGTACAATAATATATGATCATTATTTACATGACCATTAATAAAATTATCTTTTATCAGAACTACAGATTTAATGTCCGTTTCAGAGCAAGATTAAGCATAAACAATGTTCATACACATACACATACACTGTAAGTGGCTGTATGGCTCTCAGCAGATGATATGTACCTATAACTCAATACCTACTGCAGAAAAAAAAATCAGTAGTCGACTTGACAACTAATTGAAAACAAGCCATGCCCGTACTGACATACAAGTATGTTGAGATATACATTTTTTTGTTTTGATCTACACCTCATTCAGAGCTCAAATATTACACTGAATGTCAAAACTGTGGTTGCCCATGAACATAGGTAATACTATTTTTTAAGGTTTAAGGCACGTAAATGTAAAGCAACATTCTCTTTTATCAAAGTACATAAACTGAATAGAGAATGGAACTTACAGTTTTTCCCATAGTTTGTTTAGGTCCCACCATCACTTCAAATCTGCCTGATGTCTCTCTCATCATGATGTTGGGTTTCACATATACTGGAATGGCTGTGAGGCTGGCCAATAAAGCAGATACAAAGATATTAACATAAAACTCACAAATACAAGATAAAACTCTCTCATAAACTTCATCTTATGAAAATACAATTTGAACATTTTCTAATCATGATGAGAAACCTGATTATACACAAGGCTTTGAATAGCTCTGAAACTAGACCTCTATTTAGAATTACTAGTACATATATATGTACTTTCACAACACTGTTAAAATGTTAAATAGTATGTAGAGCACCCACAAAAATACATATATACACTGTACTCTTAAAATTAATTAATATAAAGTTGCCCCTTTGAAATGAATGTATAGTTAATCTTGTTTTGACACTAGAGTGCCTAGATAACTTGTTTTCAAGTGGATTTGGCACCTAGTTGTATTATACTTGGTTTGAACCGAAGTGTTACTGGGCTCAATCATCAACGGGTTACAAATCAACAAAGGTATCTGAGTACTTACTTGGAAGCTCCTATGTGATAGGAGAGGAGTCTGAAGTTACCATCGGGAGGAACAAAGGACAGCACTCTCTCAGACTAGATCAGAAATGACAAGACACAAATAAAGTATAAATAGCTGATCTTGAGTTGATGAACAAATTTTACAATATGAAAGCACTCTCTAAGACTAGATTAGACAAATTAATATATGTACCGGTATGCAGCATTAGTAGCAAAGTATAAAAATTAAAAAGTTTTTCATTGTCCCACATGTGTAACCAATATTAATTGGGATCAATGTATACAGTATGAATCACAAATCCTTTGAAAATCTGGCAATGATTGAATCATTGCTCTGCATTCAGTACTTTGAAAAATCAACATTAGACTATGTCAGTACCCACCAAATTTCAAGCTTCATGACTAATTCAAAATTCATGAGTGTATTTATTCCTTCAAAAGAGAAAACTTAAATTCAAATGGACCCTTCTCATCACCTAATGTTATAAACCATTCTTATAATTCTAAGACATCTACCCCGCCCCCATCCAAAAGGACATCAACCCCTGATATCCCCCTGGGCATCAACTGCGCTATGTACAACAAGGAGGAAGGTACTTCACTAGATTTCTTCAAAAAAACAACTGCAAACATACCTGTACAACTCCTCTTAAATTGTTGATAGTCTAAGAGACAATGCCTTGTACTCTTTGGAAAAGGCGCTATATAAATCCAATTATTATTGTTATTATTATTATCAATTATCCTACATGAGATAATTGTCTCATCACTCACCTCCCATCTCTTGTATCTGACACAAGGATGAAAGCTGACGTCATCCAGGAGACGATGATTCACAAAGGACATGGTAAGATCAGGCATCCCGGTCAGCTTCACAGAGCAATCAATGTATCCCTGGATTTCAGCAATTACAGTCGAACCCTACAAAAAAGAACGGAGCATAGTCAGTTACTACTGGATTCTCCTGTAGTTTGGTGCTCTGATTGTGATTTGTACACCAATGGAAATGAAATCCACTGGGGATAATCAATACTAAAACATTCTAGAGCAATCCAAGTATCCATGCACTTCAGCAATCACTGTTGAACCCGACATGACAGAACAAAGCAAAAGGTAACTACCATATTTGCGATTGTACATTTCTCTGATGGTATCATTATCATCAATGAAACAAATGATTCCTACGGCGATAACAAGTGCTATTCTATTCTATAAATAAGTCATTGTAGAGGTGCCGTGGTCGAGTGGTTAAGTCGCCGGACTGCCGATCACAAGGTCCGCGACCCACTGCGGCACTATGTCCTTTGGTAAGACATTAATCAACATTTGAAACACTCAACCCAAGTGAGGTAAATGGGTACCTGGCAGGAATTAATTCTTTGAAATGCTAGAGCGCCGTGATGGCAGCACAGCTAAAGCCGGGGTAATAATCTCCAAGCTTGGAAGCACTTGGTGATTGTATATAAAAACCGAGCTATATTATTATTATTGTAATTATTATTTTGATCAACTTGAATGAATTTACTCAAAATGTGACAAAATCTGATTAAGTGAACTGAATGATAAAGACCAATTGGTCCTGAGAAGAAGTAATTATATTTGAGGAATTGGAGAGACTGATGATTAGACCAGGTGGAGACAAATACCAAGTGACTAGTTGGAGTGTCAACAGACAAATTATATCAAAAATAATATCGCTAGTGATATTTGTTTGTCTCGCAATGTATGGTCAACAAGGGATCTAAAGAACACGACGTTTCATGCGCCGCTGCAACATGTCGTCAGGGGATAATATAATGTAAGCAAGCATGTTTTAAACTCTACGGGTGGACCTTCGGTCAAATATTTATACATTGAATAGAATTAAATGGCAATGATCCGATGGTACTTACTGATTTGTCAATGATGCAGTCTACTTCTTCAATAACATCAAAGTATGCCTCATTGTTGGTGTACTTCACCCCGCTTCGTCTCCAAGGGACATTGGACAGCTGACCACTAGGAAGGGTGTCGCTCAGACTGTGAAAATAAGAAAATACAATTTACATTATGAGTTTAATATGGATAATTTCATTACATAGAGGAACCAAGGGGGTTCCTGTATTAAACATATGGGAATGTTACAGCTCAGTAAGTCAACAGGCTCACTGAATGACATGACAGGTGATTGTTTTTTATATGGTGGATAACTTGAAGGGCAATTAAAGTCATGGTATACTGGCATCAAGCTACATGAAGTTCCTGTTTCGCATGCAAAAATATAACATACAAACATTTCTCAAAATGGCTTGAATGTTCAAGGTTGTACCACTGAAATGCAAACCAATGATATGGATATACAATGTATACTGGATAACAATAATAATTGATTATTATCAAATTGCCCTAACCGCAAAACCTGATGAATTGTTTCTATTTGTTAGCACCATTCACCAAATGTGTGCTCAATTGTCGTACAATCATTTCAGGTATCTAGACATTTTGGTAAGAAATGAATACAATACAATTATGTTATAACGTAACTCTTATGATATAATCATCTTATAAGAAAACTTTTGGTTTTCATGAACTGCCAAAAGTTATTAACTCACTTTGTGCTTCCAGTGACTGTATTGACCACCGTCCTGAGAATGTTGGGTGGTTTGATGAGCTCCTTAAGTACATTGGACTCTGTAGCCAGAGGGAACCCATTGTCAAGCATCTCCTCTAGAAGCTGTTTAGGAGTAGAAAGAAAAGTTGTATAGAACATGACAACATGTAGTTTTATACACTAGGCTTAGGTTTGCACCATGTGATAGAAAGGGGGGGGGGGGAAGAATTGGGGAGTCCCACGTCCGCAACCCAGTGACTTAAGTCCATGCAGGCACCAGATAGTCAACCTGTTTGAAACGTCGAGCCCCTCCTACTACCCATCCTCTCCAACCGGCGCTATATTTCTCCTTAGAACTAAAAGCTCAAGAAAGATTAAAGATTACCAGCAGTTTTTTCCAAGACTACCAACAGTACTTTTCAGGACTCCTCAATCCTCCCCCCTCTCTCTCACATGGTGGAAGCGTAAGCCTACTGTATATCTACATCACCATGCAAGCCAATACATTTAACATGTACATGTAGTTTGCAGCTGTAAGGCATCACAAATGGTCTCAGCTAGGAGACTATACAGAGGCAGCATTCGGGAGGCCCTGAACTCTAGCTGCTCCTTTGACACAGCCAGAGACTGTTAGAGTTAGGCTCAGCTCAAGCATATTTTATCATAATTGTTTAAGTGTCGAAGTAGAGTATGTATTTTATCATAATTGTTTAAGTGTCGAAGTAGAGTATGTCCCTGCAGACCTGGTGACAGGTTGGTCAATGCCTAAATCTGTTACCAACAAGCATGTCTTGGACAGACTGAAAGGCACAAGGTCATTATGATTGTGGTTAGATAATCAGATAAAATTCTTAGGAAAACATCTATATAATAGAAATCAATATTCTTTTTTTATTATGCTTAATTTATCGAATTTGCATACACTTCCCGTATCTCTTTCTCCTTCCCTCTCTCATTCTCACATATGAATATTTTGTGAAGCACAGCATTTATTATCCTAAATGAAAGATGACAACTCGACTTCACGCAAATGCTTCTGTACATTGCAATGCAAGGTCTCCAGGATTTATTGAATTGAGCCTCTTACCTCGTACACGACCACATAGTTCTCCTTTATGGATGTCTCGGTACATTCAGAGAAATAATCTGCAAATGTGTCAACAACTCGATGGAGGAATTCAATCACAAACAGAGGGGGTGCTGTTTTGAAAGAAAAGGATCAAAATTTCAAATTGTTGCATCTTCCAAGGTAAATCTATAAGCTGCACTAAACATACATGCTTACTCTGTAATACATCAATGTAAAATTTAATTAATTTTGAGAGAAAAACAGGGACAGTAGGGACTGCATCCTGAAAATGATTTTATTAGAATATCAATAGCTTTTAAATCAAGATAATACTCCTCACCTACATGTACATGATCTTAACAATTAGTTCCCAGGTTTATCCTTTTCCACATGCCTGCCCTGGGTTTACCTGCTCCTTAAAACCCTTAATAAATATTTAATTTGTTCTTCTTCAGTGTACTAGAAAGTGAATCCCCTATGGGAAGATTTAACTCTTCTTTACTTATTCTATACTTCTTCTTTTTTAATAATGGAGTGCCTTGAATAACTTCCTTGGTGGATATTTGTGCTTTAAACAAATATCCAATATTATTATTATCATTCTTTCTTGTTCATTTTAAATCCATCTTAATAATCATTCACTCTAGTCTTTTTCTGCTCCAAACACTGTTCTAAAATGTCCCTGTATAGGATTATGTAATCATTACTCACTCTCTGTCTGTACCACAGCAACAAAGTAGATCTGATTCCTGTATATGCTGATGAGATAGTGATGAGGTGTAGCAATGATGGGAGGAACATCCAATTTGCTGCAGGCCTGTTTTTTTAAAGAAAAATAAAAGTTCTGAATTATCAACCTACATGTATGACAAAACATACTCAGCTGGTACTATTTTATGAATGTATTCTCAAGATTTGTATGTTCTGTAATAATGAAGAAAAACTGTTGACCTGTAGAGTATGGCCCTAGGAATATATATATATACAAAACATTCATGTACATATATATATATATAACAGCTACTCAGCTAGTAGTAGTACTAATGAATGTACATGTATTCTCAAGATTTGTACATTCTGTAATTAGGAAGAAATGCTGTTGACCTGTAGAGTATGGCCCTAGGAATATAAACATACATATATATTTGTAATATTATTTTACCTAAAATGTATCATATTTGCAAATAGAACAAGAACTAAATGAAAGAAAAAAAAATGAAACTTTCATTTCCAACATACCTTTTCTTGTGCTTCAAAGAAGTAGTCACATACTGATCTGCTTACAACACTTTTCCAATGTTTTTCCATAAAAATATCTCTGTGAAATTGAGAACCAAAGAAAACAAAACAGACATAAATCATTTGTAAGGTATCCGTATGCCAAGCTGCACCAAATTTTTTAGTTCAATGCAATGCTTACCGCGTATGTATCCCAAATAATGTCTAGACCTACGAAAGAAAACCTTTTTTTCTTCGATATTTACATTCACATCCAGAGATTTTTCATTTTCAGATGAAAAATCAAATATACATGTACACCTGAAAGGCTCAATAGGAAATCTTAAATCTCGATTCATGAGTCATGACCATAATCGAACAGGACAAATTGCATAGATTCACCCCTTTCTGTTTGAAATTCCTTTCGCAAATTCAATTTTTCTGCCTTAACCATACATTTTCAATTTCACGATTCTTCACTTTCGCTGCTCAATTCAGCGAACACCGTGCATGCGCCTTAGTTTACTAAACGAATCGCTAATATCGTAGAAGTTTCAAATTGGCAACACCCCATGTATTTGCATTTCCGGGAATCAACATCGCAAACTCTTGTACAAAGTGAGCGTGTAAAAAAATGTAAATCGCATGTTACCTCATTATCATCAGGAACATGTGCAAGGTAAGCAAATCGCTATCACTTAATAATAATGTCTTTGTTTTTAGGAAAAATACTCCCCTCAAAATAAGAAAATTGACATGAAAGAGGTAAGGAACATAACAACTTTAAAATAATGACCATTATTTGAACAATTGTTGAAAATTTAGTTGACTCTTGGTATATTTTTGGATTTGGTATCTTAGTTTCTTACAATCAGTACGAGAATACACCCGACTGTGGCCTGTGCTTATAGTGAAGAAGAAGAAGATATGAATTAAATAAGGATCTGAGATTACAGTCAGTAACTTCAGTTGCGCCCACACCCCACCGTCGGTACGCTAGATGGTATGCAATTGACTGAATTGTATTGTGCAGCGGTTTGCTGTGAATCCTGTGAGAAAGTGTACCTAGATTCTAGTCTAGATCTATATTAATTATACTGATCTAAGTCTTTGTTTTTAGGAAAAATACTCCACAAAAAGATAAGAAAATTGACACGAAACAGGAAAGAAACATGACCCATTTGGGGTGTAACACTAACATTACGTAACACACGTACATGAATTGGAAAATTCATTTATTTATGATCAAGATAACTCTAGAGGCGCTAGTGTAGTTCCGTATCCATTTTTTTTACCAGTTTATTATCGATTCTTAGCAAAGAAATTTTAGCCCAATTTTTTACTAATTTTAATCATAATCATATAGAGTAAAGGAGCCAGTAATCGGCCAGCTCCAGTTTTCGGCCGATTGGTTGGATGCAAGGTAAAATCACTCTAAAATACATCGCATAATAGCATAACACATATCCCACACATACCATACCATGCCAGTGTCACTGAAGAACCACATTTGCAATGAAAAATATATCCTAAAATATCACATTTTAGCGATGTAATCGGCGGTCCCGCTACCCGAATCTGAAAAATCGAATATCTTACGTGTGTCTGTAAGAAATATGGGTACCATAAAATGAGCTTTATTTCAAGTATTTTTCAGATTTAGAGCCCGATTTTGTGCTAGTCGCAAGCTCAAAAGTACGTCATCGCATGTATTACATCAATGCAGCAGCACACCGCAACGCACACACGATATCTCTGTCTAATTCAGATTCCAATATCCGATCACCACAGTACTAGTTGAAGGAAAAACTGCGCCATCTACACGTTCGTAATGGCGTTATCACAGTTTTTCCTTCATAATCATTTTTGCCTTTGGCGTAGACTAGAAGGGATGAGATTGATTTAGATGACTCCGGCAGCGAGAGTTTAACACGGCTTGCAAGATTTTCAACATGGATGTAGATTTTGACCCATAATTTCCTTAAAAGGGACCATTAAACGGATTATTTCAATCAAGTTAGTAAGTGGAACCGATGTATTATAGCCTAGTCTAGGCCTAATTTACATTTGGATATAGGGTGGAGTGCCCAGTATTCGGTCACTTAAGGGGAAATCACTAATATTTTGAATTCTTACCTCTTTTATTTGGCAATCTACCCATCAAAAGAAAAGAAATTTATTCCTCTAACAGGATTTTATAGTCACTTAAAATATAGAACAATGATAAGCAAAATACTTCCGAAAGAAGACGGAGCATTTTTCTGCCCAGAATTCGGTCGCGCCGATTAGAATTCGGTCACGCGATTTGTGCGTGGTATCTCCGTTGCCAAAGAGCGAAGCGTATTTGCGCACTATTTTCACACAATTGCGCGATAAAGCACTGAATGTCAATGCGTTGACCGAATACTATCCGAGCGATACCGCATGGCAAGGGTATCGTATAAATACCTCTCGCACATCGGCAAATGCGTCATTTGCAAATTCACTGCGATGGAGTGAACACGGAAGTGATTCTCTTCACACACATACTAAATTCATTGCGACAGCACACGCAGTTGTTTCGCAATAGACTTCTACATATGGCTATGCATGTCAGCGCATGTGCTAAGAGAACGCAGAAGTGCAGAAAGTCTTGCGACACTGACCAATTTTGAGCTAAGTTGGAGATCTTTCCGGGGCCCTAAATCTGATTTAATTTTGAGAGTTAAGAAAAGTTGTTCAGCTGCCTGATTTGTGCAAGTTTCGTGGCTCTTAAATTATTTTTTAAATTGTTACAGCTGTTGAAACGGCTGTCTGACCGAATACTGGGAATTGACCGAATACTGGGCGCGCTACCCTACACGCACACATAGGAGCATCACTATCCTGGCTGTGTAGTAAAAGCTGTGCTTTTGATTCTCAACATTTCAAACAACACTGTACAAAACTCAACTGATTTCACTCAAAATTGGTACTTTAGTGACAACTGATGACACCTAAATAGCAGTAAAATACATTTTTTTCAACTTACTGATGTTAAAAAGAATAATTTAAAAATTGAAATTGTAAGCCTAGTATCAAACTTTGCTTAGATCTACAGCTGCATCGACATGATTGTGTACAGTCTATGCAATATTGTGTGGTGTGTATATTTGTGTATAGACTTCTAGGTCCCTGCCTCACAGCATGTATGCAGTGCTAGAGGTCAATACGCTTTAGCATTGACTCTCTTAGACCGAATTTTCCGTCTCTTTCGTTCGTTAGCCTCTTATTGGGGTAGGGTCGGCTCTCTCTTTAGAGACCGAAACGGACTATCCCGCGAAATGTGTAGGGTTATGTGGGCAAATCAGCACACCAAACTTGCAAAACTTATCCCCGAATTACTCCTTTCACAGGATGCAAATCCGATGCATTTTATATTGTAAATTAGGTTAAAACTTAACTTCTTCGGTTCCACTTACCAACTTGACTGAAATAATCCGTTTATTGGTCCATTTTTAGGAAATTATGGGTCAAAATCGATATCCATGATGAAAATCTTGCAAGCCGTGTTAAACTCTCGCTGCCGGAGTCATCTAAATCAATCTCATCCCTTCTAGTCTACGCCGAAGGTAAAATGATCATGAAGGAAAAACTGTGCGCCATCTACACGTTCGTAATGGCGTTATCACAGTTTTTTCCTTCATAATCAATTTGCCTTCGGCGTAGACTAGAAGGGATGAGATTGATTTAGATGACTCCGGCAGCGAGAGTTTAACACGGCTTGCAAGATTTTCATCATGGATATCGATTTTGACCCATAATTTCCTAAAAATGGACCATTAAACGGATTATTTCAGTCAAGTTGGTAAGTGGAACCGAAGTAGTTAAGTTTTAACCTAATTTACAATATAAAATGCATCGGATTTGCTTCCTGTGAAAGGAGTAATTCGGGGATAAGTTTTGCAAGTTTGGTGTGCTGATTTGCCCACATAACCCTACACATTTCGCGGGATAGTCCGTTTCGGTCTCTAAAGAGAGAGCCGACCCTACCCCAATAAGAGGCTAACGAACGAAAGAGACGGAAAATTCGGTCTATGACTCTCTAGACCTATGCTTTGCTGGAGTGCCTACACGAGGTAAAATGACATTTTGGGGGATTTTGGGGGCAAAACGCTACGACCTGAAATGGCCGTGGCGTTTTCAAGGGAATGTGTATAGACGGTTTCCGTCTCTAAAGAGAGAGCCGGCCGACCCTACCCCAATAAATTAAGAGGCTAACGAACGAAAGAGACGGAAAATTCGGTCTAACAGTTAGTCTAGATCAAAACGGAATGAAAGATCAAACTAAAGAAAGGAGTAAAATTGGTAGTGCCTAGTGGTTGAGATTGATTTCAATGTAACAAGAGGCATTAATATATTTTCAAAACAAGTATGCCATTGTAATGGAAGAACTGCGATTCACAAGAAAATCTTAGAAATATGACTGGTTAAATTAAGAAAATGACACAAAAATGAATGGGGATCCTTGCCCCCTACGGACGTAATACGCGCAGTGAATACGTCACAGGCCGACCAAGTCATAATATACTCATATGAGCCGACAGTTTTGTTCACTGTGATTATGAAGACATCTGCCCTATTTTCCTTTCTTTTTAACCTGTTAAATGTGCTTATACATACCCTGAGGAGTTTATCATGAACAAGCTGTGTATCATCTTGCCGGTTATATGAACTTTGTCCGCAGAATTTCAAGTAAAGCTGATTTTTAATAAACCATTTGTTTTCGAAGGCTATGTTTTCCTCTTTTGAAGTCAGCGACTATTTATTTTTAGAAATATTTATAGAGTGTCGTCAGAAGGTCTAATCGAAAAGGAAAAAAGAAAAAATGCGAATCTCGGTTGGAAGTAACGGCAAGGGAGTAATTGACTGGTAGACACTGTACGATCCTCCTGCCATCGGATTTTTTAACACATTGCAATTATAAAAGATATGAAATCTTTATAAAGATCATCTTTCTGATTTGGGATGTATATTATAATATAAATTTTAACAACCGGAAATTTAATGCATTTAACAATAACAATAACAGCCGAGTCGGCTTTAAATCGTCACTACGATTCTGAGCCGATTCGAATTTTCTTCAGCCATGGAAGGTCGACATCCATTGAAATGTAGATTTGATTAATCCTTTAACTATATTAACTGCTCAAATCACTGAATGCTATATAGCAAATTCTTCTAAATTCGGATCGTAGTCAGATTTTATCGTGAGAAGTGTCAACTCGAGAAAAAAAGCATGAATACCATTAATTTATATAATTTAAAAAAAATGTATATAGGCCTATATCGTCTTTCAATATATACCAAAACCAAACAATATACGCCATATTGCGACCAACTGAATCAAGTTGACCAAACTCTGTGTATACATATCAACCATTATAGTGCTTTTGTATTATGCATTGCTATATTATTATTTTTAATTCCTGATTTTATAGTTTCTTAGTTCTTTAAAGGAACAAAACTGGAATCCCAAGAGAACCATGTTTTTAAAGGAAATAGAAAATTTATTTCATAATTTCGCTGAATCTGACTAACCGTTTGTGTGATTTTAAACCCGACCGTCGGAATAAAGATAATGCACATGGTCTGTTAATATACATGCCGCTCTTTAATTATGAAATGTTGAGTCAGTCTCATATTCACTAAATCTACAATTCAGATAACTAACCTTTGATTCTACCTAAGATTGGAGATTTTATTATTGTCACGTTCCTTATTCTAATTAGTTTTGGCCCTCTCTTTCTATATTCAGGATGATTCAATAGAACTTAGAGATGTTGTTTAAAACAACTAAGATGACACAATACCAATCAAGTCGAAAGTCTTATGGGAAGATGATAAAAGGGCAAATCTCGACTACGATACAAAAAGTATATATTCCTATTGTGTTCGTTTGCACAACAAAGGCAAAAAACACAATAAAGGTTTAGAAATTGGGCACTTTTTTAAAGAAAAGTATTAATTTGTTTATAATATTTTAAATACATCACTGTTAAAAAGGTGACAGCAAAGTTCAGCAAAATGTAACCCGAAAGCAATGGCAAATCGGGGTTTCAGTTTAGATTCATAACATCTATAGATTCTATACCTGTATAATATAGGCACTATATCTACCATCAAAAGATGCAGGCTATTTTTTCATAACATTTTTTCGTATTTCTATATCAGAGCTTGCGATAGTGCTAAAATGGCCCCCTCCCCCCAAAAAATGTTTTCTTAATCATTTGGTACGTAGGTCATTTTATCTAAAGCCAAGCTTAATAATTGTAAAAATAATATTGTTCAATATTCTGAGTTTAATATTTCCGAAAATGAAATTTAGAGTTCACGGTTCCGCAATTTTAAACAGGGGTCATAATTCCGCGGAAAGGAAAGTTAAACAAGAAAGAAATAAGATTCAAAGTTTTACAATAATAGGGCAATAATTCCAATTCTTGTTTCATACCTTCATTGGGATAATTAGTTTTTGTACAATTTATTGTCGTCAAAGCCAATAAGTTAGTGATTTAGTCACGGTGAACAAATACGTATATTCGTAATTCGACACGACTGAAGGTAATTGGCCATTTCATAAACGTTGTATATGTCTACACGACCATGACATATTACTTTTTCATCTTTATTTTCCTGTATTTTGCCTTTAAAGAAACGAAGGCCAACTTAAATGGGTGATCCGTATTTACAAGCTTGTATATCACCTCTTATCTTCCCGAATCAGGCTATATATAATGACAAAATGTCATAACGCTAACAAAAAAAAAAAAATGATTAACAAATATTTATTCAAATAATAATAATAATAATAATAATACAATATTTATATAGCGCAAAATAAACATAAAAAGTTTCTCTTTGCGCTGTACAAGCATATATATATATATATATAATCACATAAAATGAATCAACACAGAGAAATATACAAATCTTATACTACTAAAATGACTAACTTAACATAGTAAATAACATAATAAATGATACAATGTGTATACTCAACTGTTTAAATAGATTTTTAAAAAGCAAACAAGTCAAAGTCGATAATCCTTATCTAAATCGATTTAAAATTTGGCTCACTGTGCACTTTTCCCTAAACTAAAAAGTCACGATTGTCTGCTACGTGGCAATTCAAGATAATTATGTGGTATCTTTTGTTCGTTGAAATTACATTTATTTTGTCGATGACTATAGCACCAATTTTTTTCTGAATTTTAGCATGCTGATTGCATTGCAGGTGCCCCTCACAACTGATTTATTGTTAATGATTAAGTGAACCATTTAATATCAGTAAAAACACAGCTGCCTCACATGCTAACCAATATACATGATTACCGATTTTGAATTTTGAGATAAAATTAAATTCAACGAAAGAAAGTCCTTTTTGCAAGCTAATAACTTCATACCTTGGTGGAACGAAACAGAAAAGCAAGTTTCGATCAAAGGGAGGAGACAAACCATATATAGTTTCCAGGAGGGGGAGGGGTGGAATTCCCTTCCCAGTCAAAAGAAAATTTGAGCATCTTCAGATTATAAATCATCAAAATTGTACGAAACAACTTTAATAAGAGGGTTTCTCATATCCCAGCGCGGAAACAGTCAACCTTTTCAACTCGAACCAAAGTCGTCGCTATCCTCAAGCCAGGAAAGGACTCGAACGAAGCCAAGAACTTTCGACCGATCTCGCTCCTGTGCCAAGCATACAAGTTGCTTAAACGCCTTATTCTTGAAGGAATAATTTCATGTTTTTCCTTCTTTCTTGTGATTGAGATAATGTACTCCCCCGAAAGCAAGATATAGAATGCAAAATGATATTCTACTTCACATGTTATGAAGTCGGATCAAGAACACAAATAAATACGAAGAAAACAAAAAAAATGTGAAATTTTATGTACAAAAGGCATGGAGAGTTGTTCACAGATGATGTCATCAAATTGAATACCGCCCTCTAGTGACTAGTCATTTCAAAAAGCTCTTACTTCCTTATTCCTTGCCCGATTTTGTTCAAATTTTCACTGATTTTATTCAAATTTTTTAAACTTTACAATAAAAGTAACTTAGTATGAAGGTTTTGGTTTCCTTTAACAGAATTAGGCCTCACGTTGACAGCCTAAATTGTGAGCAGGCAGGTTTCCGACCAGGCCGAATCCACCACGGGACAACTTCTCAACCTGACCCAACACATCGAAGACGGTTTTCAGAACAACCTCATCACAGGTGCAGTATTTGTGGATTTATCTGCGGCTTATGACACTGTCAATCACCAAAGGCTACAGACAAAACTTCATGACATCACAAATGACCTCAAACTCACCAGATTCATCCAGAAGATGATGCAGAACAGACGCTTCTTTGTCGAACTTGATGGGCAGAAGAGCAGATGGCGGAAAAAAAAGGTCTCCCCCAGGGTGGCGTCCTGGCGCCAACACTCTACAACATCTATACTGCTGACATCCCTTCAACAGAGAACACTCGAAACTTCATCTATGCAGATGACACCTGCATACAGCCCAGCATAGTACCTTCGAAGCTGTTGAACTCCATCTCAACACAGCGCTCGCAAGCCTTTCGGAGTACTACAGAGCAAACTACCTACGGGCAAACCCATCCAAGACTCAGATGTGTGTTTTCCACTTGAAGAACAGGGAGGCAAAGAGAGAACTGAGTAAAGTGGAACAATGTGCAGCTAAACCAATGCGAGCATCCAGTGTATCTAGGTGTAAAACTCGGTCGCACTTTATCCTTTAAGAAACACATCGAGAAGACGATATGCAAAGTAGAATCTCGAAATGCGATCATCGGGAAGCTAGCATCTTCACACTATGGCGCTGACCCCAAAACTGTACAAAGTGCAGCTGTTGCCCTCTGCATGTCATCTGCAGATTATGCTTGCCAGTTTGGAGCAGATCAGTTCATGTGAAGAAGCTTGACACCACACTCAATAACACATATCGAAAGATAACAGGCTGCCTGAAACCAACAAAAGTTGAGGAGATATATCACCTCGCTGGCATTGGATCTCGTAACCAAAGGCGCACTAACACCTGCCTAAAGGAACGGATGAAGCAGGCGACAGATGACAGACACATGCTACACGGATACTTACAACCTCACAAACGACTTATATCCAGACACAGCTTCCTCGATTCTGTCCCACCACCTGAACAGAATCCTCCACCATCAGCCAAGCCCGTTCTCATCAAAGGGCTTAACCTGAAGTGGCCGGAGTGGCAATGTCTAAATCAAATGCGGACGAGAATGGGGCGGTGCACAGTGGGCCAGAATCGCCTCAAAGTGTGCCAAAATTCAAAATTGGCGAATGTGAATTTTTATATTTTTTTCATTCGCTTGGGGAAGAAAACATTCTAAAGAATATTTTTCCACCCATATTTTAATATTTAGCGAGTTTTAAAAGTGTCATATACCCCTGCGGAAATGGGAAATCTATATGTATAAAAAGAGGCAACTTTACAATAGGTGTTGAGAATTTATGAAGGGAAAAGCAACCAACTTGATACTGCGTGCACTTCTTCCCTATTGGTAACCCAATTAGAAAATTCAATGACCAAATTTATGGAAGCTTCATTTTGGGAAAAATGTTTGCCCAAACCTAAGCTTTCCATGTTTGGTATTTTTTTTATGCTAGAATTTGCAACACTGCATGTGCAGGCGCTTTTCCTCCCCACGTCCATCGATTATTATTAGGCATAATCGGTACACATTTGTACTGTTTACGTTTACGCACAGCCGATTCAAC